GTGCCGAGCTGGCGCGGCTGGCGCTGAGGGGTTCCGACCCGCCGACCCAGTGACGCCGTCAGGCCGGAGCGCCCGGAGACGGCGGCGCGGGCGCTGCGAACCGACGTCATCCGGTCCGGGATCTGACTCAGAGCCCACACCGGCCCTGAGTCAGAGCCCGTTTGCGGAGCACCAGTTGTCTCACCAACTTCTCACCCAGTCGACCACCGAGGTCACGACTTGCGCGAGGCCAGCGTACACTGACCTTGACCCCATGTACTGCACTCACGACACCTCAGCGCCACCTCCAACACGGGAGGACCTCAAACCGCGGCACCGCGCCTCCCAGACAGCCGGTCGGCATGCAGAGCCACAGGACGCCGGCATGCGTCGTTTTGACGGCGAGCTTCTGACCGAGCAGCGCTCTCCCAATCCCCGATACCGCGGCGACCTTCTGACCGAGCCGCGCTCTCCCAATCCCCGATGCCGCGTCGATTTGTACCTCAACAATCACTTGATCATCTTAAATGCTTGCCGGTTTACAGTCACACCCGAAATATCCTGAAATACAATTTTCTGAGCTCGTGCATGCCGTTGGACCTTTGTACTGGCACGTGAGGAATCCAAGGCGCTGAACAATTACACCGTGGAGCTGGTTTCGTGCGTTACGTGTTGGATGCGCCACAATAAACTGCAATTTTCCGCTCTCGCGATCACACAAGTTTTCGTGGAGCTGGCACCCGGGGTGTGACGTTTAACATCTGGCGTGACTATAGTAATAATCGATCATTGTCCTGCCATTTCCAGGCATTATGCCACATTGTCTGGATCCAGGCACCATGAAGAAGGTCAAAACAGAGAAGCGGAATCCGAAGAACTGCAATGGGAATCACGAGTTTCTTCCCTGAAAGATGCTCAGATTCGCACCTGGCAGCTGTCCAGTGCTTGGCTTGGCTTCGCATCTGGTGTATGATGATGCATGCGACTGCATTTAATTGAACGCTGTTGACGACCCTTTCAAGGGAGGAGGATCTTATCACATTTTTGTTTATCCATATCCTCACGAAGGCTTCGATAGTGATCGCACGTATAACCAGGCTGTACATATTTGGTATGCAACGGAAAGTTCTGTTTTGTTATTGGTGTTTCTCACCGCATATCATATACATGCAATGTTGTATGAAAATACACTGTGTTGTCGATTGTGCTCGCTGTGCGGCACCAGGGGGCGGGGACGCACGGGGCGGCTCCTCACAGCGTTCGCCGGGTCCCAGCGGTACTATCCGTGGAACAGCCGGCGGCGTGTGATTGTTGACCCCTCATCCGGGTGAGTGGCGCAAGTTGAGTGTCTGACTAAGCGTGACCGGGCACGGTGAGAGTGACCACGTGCAACGTTGCAAGCTGGACTGCGGGACCGGCGCGCGGCGGCACTGACCGGGCCCGACCGGCCGGTCCGTCGCCGCATCGTGGCATTTGGAGTGATGCTCGAGGCGGAGTGAACGGTACGAACCGTGACTCCCGAGTGTACACTGCGCCGCCATCGTGATGCGCCCCGGTCTGCTGCGCTGCCTTACAGCGCAGGTCGTCAGGTGCCAGTGGAAGCTCACCGCGACGCCGGCCCCCGGCCCCGGCGTACGTGAAGACTCCCAGGGCGGCGGGCGATGCGGGCCCGTCAGCCGCCAGTCAGCTGATCGGACCGGTCACAGCTAGCTACCGGGCCGACCTGACCCGCCGCCGTGGACTGCCGTCCGAACACGCGCAGTCGAAGGCCGCCGCCTCGACCGCAGCGGGCAGGGGCGTGCGACCATACCAATCAAATGCCATGTCAATAGCAGGGCCAGGTATGTTGTCGGCTCAATACCATGTAACGGTGCCAGCTGATAGCACCTCCAAAGTACTATTAAATGTTCACGGCCGCGCACGAATTAAAGTATTTTAGATAGCTGCCATATCTTTGCAAATTCACGGTCCGGCGGCCCCGCTGTCTTTAAATGATGTGCCGTTAGGCAACTATTCCAATGAAATGGTTGCGGTCGGCCGCCAAAGACGACTCGTTGCAGCGTGATAACCCTCCGTATGTGCGCGTGCGCAGTGTCACCCTCCGCACGGAATATAAGTGTTTTATAAAACGATGCCGCATGTCGGAATTCACTCCTAATCTTCGCGTGACCGACAATGATATCATACCAAAGATATCCCACAAATGAGATTATACCAAAGGATAGGCGTCTTAGGCGGAACACGGTGTAACGGTGCCAGCTAATGACCCTCTCGGTGCTATAAAATACACTCGGTCACACACTCAGCAAGAATATAGCGTTTTTAAGTGACGGCGCATTTTTGAAAACGTTGCTTTGGACCGCCTGTCAACATTTAGTGAAGCTCAGTAAGAGGGTAATTGCAATAAAATAGGCGCCGTCGGCTGACAACGATGTTACGCTCTCGCTGAGGTAGCGAATACACACGGCCATACCCTCTCCGCACGACCATTTTATGAAAAGGCAATATTAGGTTAAATAAAAAAGGTTAAGTTAGGTATTTTGAATGATAATGAATTAAGTATTTTGAATGACAATGAATACAGTAGGTTTCTTCGGCCGAAACCATGCTATATTGCGAGCTGGTAGTCCTCCCGCAATGCTACCACATACACGCACAGTCGCAACCTCCTCGCACGATAAGAAGCATATCTGAATGACAGCTGTGTCTTTAGAAATACACGCTCCAGTGTGGCCTAAAAAATGGACTGATTTGCTGTCAGGGGGTCACGCTAATAAAATGCCTGTCGTTGACCGACAATGATATTGTGGTGCCGGGTGATAGCCCTGCTCCGGTGCCATCAAATGGTCACTATAAGCCCTCCGCGCGCGACTAAGGTGGCCGTCCGACCAACGATTTTGCATTTCCCCAGAGGGCGGCCGTGCCGCCGCGGGAGTAGAATCCAGCCGACCATCCGGAGGCCGACCGGCCAGAGGTCAGCTGATGACACTGTACCGCCCCAGGGCGGAACGTGGCATGGGGAGGGGCACCCCAACGGCGGGTCCTGCAGTAGTGCTGTCCAAGGCCCGAGCGAGCCTCACTGAGACATCATAAGGAGGTGGGGGAGGGGCGGGGGAGGGAAATCCAGCCGACCAGCTGGAGGCCAGGACGGCCAGAGGTCAGGTGGCGCCATCACATCGCCCCAGGCCCGGACGCGAACGCGGCCGGGCGGTATGACTCAGGCGAACCGACCCCGGCAGCCGGCCGAGACGGCCGGTCGGTCATGAGAGTTCAGGAGATGAATGCTGTGGAGGATAATTTTCTGGTTAAAAGCTCAGTTAAGCCGACTTCCCCCACTTGGCATCAAAAGCATGAACAACAGGTCACGCGTTGATTTTTCGCATGCCCGAGGGAAAGTGGCCAAAATACTGCTCACCAGCATCAAAGCAAGAATACGCAAGCACTTTTACGATCGAAGGCAGGCTTTTATTTTGTAGGTGTCCTGAAACTGGGACAACACAGATCTTGCGGCCTGCTGCCAAGCGCTTTGGGATTCTCTAAAAACACCGTGACACGTCCACCGGTTCCCATCAGGGTTCTAGGGGGCTAACATTTCTTGATCAATTGTTGAAGAAATTTTCGACCGGCACCGACTATCAAACTGGACACCGTAGCAGTGGAAATCGACTCCCAAACCATCCCCCAGTACTGAGGGATAAGCTGTCAAAAGGTGTACCGAAAAAGTGGAATTTAAATCCGACCAGTGTGGTGTTTTTGCAGATGATAGCTCCATACGAACGCTACCCGATGCACGCAATCCCAATGGTTGCTTTCGAATATGAGCGTTTTTTCGGGCCGCCGCATTCATTCACCTCTCCAGAGCTGATGCCCCCTTTGGATTGCACACTTTTGCTAGTAATTTAACATAGGTTCTGCCAATAGACATACCTACGGTGTTGCCCATCTAGTGCTATTATAAATATATGCAGCCTTGCACCAACTGCATAAACCAGTCCCAAAATGTCAGTATCCATATAGCACGGCCGGATCCAGGCCATCCACAAAGATGGACTTCTGGACCCTGCCATGCTACACAAACACTTTGTTCCAACCGTTAGTTTCGGTATAAGATGTGCAGGAATGTCAATTCTTGTAAATTATTGGGGGTGGGGGGGTGGGGCTGAACCGAAGGCCCGACAACCTACCCCTCTCAATTTTTCTCACTGAATTTAGCCTACTTCGTTTTTATTAAACGCAGCATATGTCTTTGACCTTTGTATAATTTATAAAAGTCTTTAAGCAGTATAGAAGCCATGCAAGGTAGGATCCAGGGAGCAGGCACTGGGAGCATGCGCCTTTTCTGATCGGCACGTGAAGGCACGGCACGTGAGGCCACCTTGGGCGCCAATGGCGCTCTTCCATGACGGTCATGGGAGGCGGCACGCATTTTGGTTGTGGGGACAGGGACGGGGTTAGCCATGAAGGACTTAGGCCATCTCGATATTCCATAGCTTTTCCCTTCAGCCTCACAAATCACTGCGCGTCTTATGGCGTACAAACCACTGCGGTATGTGAAGTTTATTGCATCGTTTATCTGCTCAGCGGTTGTGATTTTTATCTTGTGGCGAGAGCAAACATGACTTTCTGTTGTGAGAGTAGTACGAGACGCCACTACGCAGCAAGATCGAAGAAGGTAGTCTTTGAGTCATTATTATCTTTTTTTCCAACGTTTTTTGCAGTATTCCAGCCAAAAACATTGGGGTGGGGGGGGGGCAGCCAACATTAGGGGACCCAACTCAACATCGGGGGACGGGGTCCTCACAAAACAATACGAATCGACGCCCGTGGAGATGCGTGACGCTCCGAAACCTTTCATAAAATGATTTTAGATTCAATTTTTCTTGCCATTTGTTATTTTCTTAAAAAACGGATTTGGGTGTTCATACATTTCTGGCGTATAGTAGACGTAATAATTTGTGACATGTGGTACGCGCAGCTATCGCCGCAGTGTGGACTTTTGCCGTGTTTCCATCGTCGAGAACAACCGTTTATTACCTAGCGGCTTACGCGGACAGCGTCCCCCACGATCTGCTTGCGGTGTCCTAGTCATTTTCAAGCAGAGGTGCTCTGTTTGTGTGTGCTGCAATTGCGTTGGCGTTTTTGGTGCCGGATTAACACACATTTAATATGAATAACTTGGCAGGGCAGCTGGGTAAAGCCCCTAAGGGTCTCGGCCTAGGTCTAAAACTTCTTGGCGTCGCTGGAGCCGGCGTGTATGGACTCTCACAGTCCACATACACTGGTAAGCTTTTTCTATTATGGTTTATGGCCCTGTGTGCAACATTTGAAAATTTTTGCTTGCCAGTCTACTTCATCTGGTACCCACAGACATACAATGCAGGTGTTACATGGTGTTTCAGCTCTAATTCTGTCTGTCAAAAATCCATTTATTGCAAAGGATGCCGACTTGATATGCCTGGTTGGCTTGTTGAACCTCTCATGTGTGTGCATATCTCAGCCTGGACAATTTGCTTAGAAGTTTGTATTTTCATAAGAAATGTTTTTGTAGCTACTTTGCCAAAATTTATGTTTTTCAACTCAGCATCATGATTTCTTGAAATATTTTCTCTACATGCTGAAATTTGTAGTGATTGTGCACCAAACCAAGCGCTTCAAGGTGTGGGCTATGATACTTGCTCTTAGCTGTGAAGGGGTGGTCAATAACTTCAGGTACACCTATAAACACTGACAACCCTTCCTCCCCTGGGTTGCAAACTGGGTATTCTGGGAAAGACCCCTGGTTGCAATGTGTTAAGCATACTGCCTCTAAATAGCAGCATCTTGTTGGCCACTAGTTGGGCTAGATATCAAACACAGACAAGGGATATGCTCTTTGCCATAAGAGGCATCCAACAGCATCCGGCTTTATAATTTAAGCTGTTATTAAGGATTTTAGGATAGGGGCAACCTGAGTAATGTAACTGTCCAATATCTCCCTTCCCTTCCTTATGTTATGCTTTGGCTGTGCTTTCTCATAACCCCCTTTCTCATATCCATGTTAAGCATAATTTAAGTACAAGCCCTATGTGATCACCCATTAGTTCTCACAATAATTGACACCAGGGCATACAACATAAGGTCAGAATGCAGCAAAAACCACAGGGATTCTTCTATGCTTTATATTTCTCTCCCAGTATTACATATGTGGTTTTTGAGGTTGTGATGTAACAAATGATTGCAGCTCTGCAATTGACACCCATCTGATTGTTAAATACTCCCCATGTGGGCTGTATCCCTAGAATACTTTTAAACCTTTTCCTGTCATTGTTCGATATTTAGCTGCATATTTTTAAAATAATCTTATGAGCCAACAATGATAATCTCAGAAGGCTGCTTGTTCCAGTGGTCTTCTGCCTGTTGCTATAAAGGATGCCACAATATAGCTCTGCTGTGGTTGCTTTACCTTATGTTAATGTCCCTCTGTGCTGCTTTAATAGGGGTTGCTGAGCACATCAGCCACAAAAGGTCATGAGTATGTAGTTTTGGTTCAGTTGAAAAATAGTCCTTAGATAACTGTGTTTGATGTTAAGCAAGCTGTGAGACTTAAATGGGGCCTCTCCTAAACCAACTTTATTTAAGCAAAACATTCAATGTTGCCAGTGCTTGTTCATAGAACAAGTTTCCGAGACCATTTCCACGTGTCCAAGTTTTCAAAACCATACAATTTACCTGCCTGTCTTTACCCTCTCTAAAATCCAACAATCCTTTTCAAAGCTCAGGCTCAAGGCTAAGCACAGTGGTCTGAATGAAGCCTTCCAATTATAAAAAACCTTTGTGTAATTATTTTTTTACTTTTGCATCTTGCATCCCTTTTAATGACACCAAACATCCAACATTCATTTTACCCTTGCCTCAACAGGCATCTTATGCAGCTATCTTACTGTCATCAAAAACACAAGTCCACTTCCTTCTTGATTAAACTTACTCTTACTATAATGTTTGAGTCCCTGGTAGGTTGTGTACATTTGTGCATGATCTTTCACTTATCAAAGGTGAATTCAATTTGCAGCATTTCAGTCAACTTAACAAGATTTTGTCTACCTTGAACATTTTTTCTTTAAATCATCTGCGAGCTTCAAAGCCATGCTGTATGGCTTACTTTTAGTGCTGTGTGCAACCATAATTAGCGATGGGTTATAATGGTTTAACGAATATATGATGAATGTATCTAAATATAAATGAGCAATCATGACAACCATAATGATCACTTTTATCATGCTGATAGTAATAAAGACCAAATCCTGCGGAACCCCTACCAAAGACACTGCCCTATCATTAATTTTGGCCACTTATTAATAAATGAATGTCACCCTTCTGTTATCCTGAAGGCCCAGTTCTATGCATTTTACCAAACTGTCAATAATACCATGACGCTCAAGATAAATTTAGATCATTTGTGAGGAATCACACCAAAAATCTTACTCAAATTTAGAGATGGGGTATGAACTCGGTTTCCCTGATCCAAATGCCTTGTTAGTTCCAGGGATTCTAAAAGATTCGCCAACCATGAGCAGCCTTGCTATGCTGATATCTATAGTTAATCCATGTCTTTCTAGGGATTCCTTGGCCCTATTTCTGATAATTGACTTTAGCACAATGCAGACCAAAAATGCAATATTTACTGGTCTGTAGTTTTTTAAAACACCCTCCATTCTTCTTTACAATAGAAACTGTGTCTGCCTTCCTGTAATCAAAGGGAATCATGGTTTCAGAAAGCACAATGAAATTAAGAAATCCAAGCCCTTCTCTGAGAAGAAGAGGATGTTGTATGTGGGAGCACATGGTACCTAGCCTGCCAGTGAAAGTAACAATGATAATTTTAACACCAGTTCAAGTTTAAGGTGCTGCTTCAGCAGGCTCATCATCCATGATTTGCGAGCAAACATTGTTGCATCATCACAGATAGACTTGCTGCCTTCTCATCCTGCTTCTATCTTAACAATGCATAGCATTATACAGTGAACACTGTTCTCCAAACCCTCACCTATATTCAAATCATGAATTAAAACTTGACATCTGAGAGGATGAGTTCAAACAATGATTCCTGGTTTGTTGGTTTTGGTACAATGGGTTCAAGGATAAAAGTCCTCAAAAGTTTCTGAACAGTGTCTGGTTAGGTGAGCTGACTCATATCCCATCAGATGAAAGTTATCCAGAAAGATCTTCCTTTGAAAGTTCATAGATACTCGTTATGGGCGCCAAATGGCCACCGCAGTCGCCGCGCCCATGAACTCCAATCAGCAACAACAAAAGTTCATAGATATTTGTCACAATTGAGGTGATCATGTACTATTGCTAGGGAGAGCTCATGATTGGTCATAAGCTCCCATGCTCGACATATTCATATTATTTCCATATAGACCAACTAAATGCAGATAGATGCTACAAATGCATGAATGGAGGAGCTACCTTTGTAGTGCTGAATTCAGTTAACCCATGGCTGCTGCTCATCCTGGTGCGAAGTGAACCGCGGGTATCAGCGATCATGTTTCACTAAGTGGCTTGCTGGCTGTCAGGAGTGTGTAAGGGCTATGTTTGACATGTTTCACTGACCTTGTATGTGTCCCTCCCACAGTGGACGGAGGTCACCGTGCCATCATCTTCAGCCGGCTGGGCGGCATTCAGAACACCATCTACACGGAGGGTCTGCACTTCCGCATCCCCTGGTTCCAGTACCCCATCATCTACGACATTAGGTCAGGTCATTACCAACGGCATTGATCATGGGTTGAGTTGGATGGAAGGTGACGCAATGGGACGTAAGCGGACAGATGCTGTTGGTAGCAATCAGAATAAGCATGCTTATTACCTTACAGCTTGAGCCAATAATGGTGATGTAATCATAGTTGGTCATGATAAGCTAATGGTGGTCACTTCGGTTTTGGAAATATTGCCTCGATTCCCAGTGCTGTATGGTGTGTATCCGTTTAGACAGATGCCGTTCACCGACAGATCACACGACACCGACTTGGCACATTTCAAGTGCTGTCGCTGACGTCATGGGCTCACGCACACATGCCTGGGACCGTGAGCAGCGATCTCTAATGACGTCATGGGCTCACACATACGCCTGGGGCCGTGAGCAGCGATCTGAACTGACGTCATAGGCTCACACATACGCCTGGGGCCGTGAGCGGCGATCTGAACGGACGTCATAGACTCACACATACGCCTGGGGCCGTGAGCAGCGGTCTGTTCTGACGTCATAGGCTCACACGTACGCCTGGGGCCGTGAGCGGCGATCTGAACGGACGCCATAGGCTCACACATACGCCTGGGGCCGTGAACAGCGGTCTGAACGGACGTCATAGGCTCACATATACCCCTGGGGCCGGGAGCACCAGCCCCATGCTCGCCGCCGTCCGCTCACCGGGCCCGCCCGCCGGCTGCGCAGGTCGCGGCCGCGCAAGCTCTCCTCTCCGACCGGCTCCAAGGACCTGCAGATGGTGAACATCGCGCTGCGCGTGCTGGCGCGGCCCGACGCGCTCGCCATCCCGCGCATCCACCAGCAGCTAGGCAGCGACTACGACGAGAAGGTGCTGCCCTCCATCTGCAACGAGGTGCTCAAGTCGGTGGTGGCCAAGTTCAACGCGTCGCAGCTGATCACGCAGCGCTCCCAGGTCAGCGGCCCGGCGCCGGGCGGCGGGGGCGAGCCTGCTGCGCGCTCCGGCAGCTGCCGGACCGGGCGGCCACACTGCTCTTGGAGTTGGCTGTGGTGGTGCTCGCGTAGCGCTGGCACGCCTGTTAGGGACGCCTGCAGCTGATGGCGTGGCGCTGGTACGCCTGTTAGGGACGCCTGCAGCTGGTCGCGTGGTGCTGGTACGCCTGTTAGGGACGCCTGCAGCTGGCCGTGTGGCGCTGGTACGCCTGTTAAGGACGCCTGGAGCTGGCCATGTGGCCCGTGGCCTGCCGTGTGATCGGCCACGGCGCGCCGGAGTGTTCGCTTGTTGGATGACCGTGACTGGTCGGCCTTGCCGGGCCTGAGTGTCGCCGACCTGCGTGTGCCGCCGGCTGTGGACGCGGGTGCTGACGCGGCGCCGTCCGCCAGGTGTCGCTGCTGATCCGGCGCGAGCTCACCGACCGCGCCCGCGACTTCAACGTCATCGTCGACGACGTGTCCATCACGGACCTCACATTCGGCAAGGACTATACGGCCGCTGTGGAAGCCAAGCAGGTGCGGCGCCGCGGCCCCGGGCGGGCCCGGGAGAGGGAGGGAAACGTGTTATCCGTCGGGTGACCGGATGTTGGGAGATGTTTAAAATATGCAGCCCGCGCTCTGGACAGACCCATGACCGGAACTCATTGTAGCTCGTGTGACATTGTGATTCGTCACCGGATGTGGTCGCTTTGACAATAGTGTGTGTTGGCAATGTTGCACGACTAGTAGTCCTGCATTAACATGCGCTCGGTGGGGGAGGGTCGAATTGACCCCCCCCCGAAGGTTTTTCCAGAATGACTTCCGAACGGCGTGGCGTAACCGCGCCAAATTTTGCATAGCTATAGGCAATTGCGTAGCGCATCGTTTGGTACAAAAAAGATGGATGTACCTTGTAAGGTACATGCCTGTACTTGTACCTTGTTTATTATGTACCTTGTAAGGACCTATGACAGGTCAAAGTCGGGCCATGGTTACAGCAGTCAATTTCAAGGGATTCGCTCAATCTGATGCAACAACGGAGTGTTAGACGAAGCCATGCATCTCTTAAATGCTTTATTAGGCAACAGAAATATGGAATGAGCAAATTACGTTGACCTAAGGTCAGGCCAAGGTCAAAATAAACCTGTTTTAATACTCTAATGCTTGCTGTATGGGTTGGTTTCTGGTGCTCATTTCGGATTTATTGATAACAGGAACCGCATCATATGCCTTCCACGGACTTTCTAGAAGTCAAAACAGGTCATTGACCTGAGATGACCCAGGTCGACATTTTGTTTTTAGGAACATAGTCCCTAGCGTAATATTTGTTGTTCATTTAAATGCAAAACTCTGAGCAGTCTTGTATGACTTTGGTCGCCATGACCTTCAAAAGGTCAAACAAGGTCACTGACCTGGAATGGGTTGTGTCCTTTTGCTTAGAAACAGTTATCTAGGTTCTGTGGGCACTAGGAGACCAACCTGGAAATTGACCTTGTTCGACCTTATTTAACCCCAAGGTCATGCCCTAGGGACCTCAAGATGTGACCTAAGTGAGTTCATGCACAGGTCAACACACCCTGTAAATTTGGTGTCTCTAGCCTCCTTAGTTCGCGAGATCTCGGGGGGGGGGGGTTCAAATTGACCCCCATCCGAGCGAAGGGTATCCAGCCGGCCACCCGAGCGCGTGTTAAGCAAGGCCATTTGCAACTCATGAAAACTAAATGCACGGGATTCCGCCGTATCATGCCAGTCTGGCTGCCACAACGTGTATTTGACTCGAACCATACTTTATTTGATAAGATGAACTATGTTGAATTTGCGATTATCATTAACCGTTATCTGCAGTTACCGACCGAAGCCCAGTTAGAAGTGAGCGCTCACCAGGCGTACGTCTTTACCCTTTCTGCCGAAGCCTGACCCCAGTTGTCGGCCGGTGGTGACGCTGGGACGTGCCGCGGTTCACAGGTCGCCCAGCAGGAGGCGCAGCGGGCGGCGTTCATTGTGGAGCGGGCGATCCAGGAGCGGCAGCAGAAGATCGTCCAGGCCGAGGGAGAGACGCAGGCCGCCGAGATGATATCCTTTGAGCCGATTCAGGCTGCGCATGCGCCCTACTCACCTAGGCGTCTTGGAGATGTGTGTGCAAGCCGTGTTGAGTTTCACCCGGCATGATCACTGAGTTCGGAATGATGAGGAAAGGCGAATCTGACGCCTACGCGCCGTGCCCTCTCGACTGGGCTCACCGCTGACGCCGTTAGTCGTGTGAAATCTTGGCGGGCGTCCCGAGACCGGTCGCCCGCTGTAAGGCCGCACGTAGACGCATGACGCAACCGCCATCTGTCGGGCGATAGCGAACTTCTGCCGTCCGGGCGGCCGTCCGAGGCCGCCACAGTAACGTAGCAGCGGGACACGTGTGAGTGGTGGCTGACGACGGTCCGGTGGCGGCGCGTGACATGGGGACGGGTGGGGTAGCGGACACGGCGCAGCGGCCACCGGTCGAGAGCAGGCGCGCGCGCTCGGCTGAAGAGATCTTTGGTAATCTGACCTCGGTGTGTGTATGTGGCATCGACGAGTTCAGGCGGACTTTCCTTGACTGGTGCGCACGTGGGTAAGGCGATCAGCCAGAACCCGGGCTACCTGAAGCTGCGCAAGATCAGGGCCGCCCAGAACATCGCACGCACGGTAAGCAGCGTCGCGAGCGTGTCCGTATGGGAGAGCCAGATCGCCTCCATGTACCGTGGCACCGCGGTATGGGTGCCGGCGCGCCGGGCACCAGCTCACTGGATCACTGGATGGTTTGATACCTGCACAAGAAAGAGCCGATTGCCTACGTAGCACTTCGCTAAAGGTTGATTGCGCGTTTTATGTAAGTCAGTCTTGCAATGTGTCGTCACATAACTTACTTGCGGTCTGCATGTTCCCAAGAGCTGCCGCTGGCTGTTGTGTCGGCGAGGGCGTCGATGCCGGTGTCGTCCAGGTGGCGTGCTACGCGCGAACTGAGCGGCGCCGCCCTGCTCACAGGTGGCCCAGTCACAGAACAAGGTCTACCTCAATACGGGCACGCTCATGCTGAACATCAACGACGATCAGTTCGACGCCAGCGCCGACCGGCTGAAGAAGTAGTCGTCGCCTTCCCGCGGGACGGTGGCGAATGTTGTGCGCGGATATGATTGGGACGTGGGTTCGAATCCTGATTCGGGCCGTTTTTTGTAGACCCCGGGCTGGCGGTGGGGTTTATGACTGCTGTAGCCGTTGTGGCTGGATGTTCACGCTGACGCTGATCGGTTCTGAGATGCTTTTTGGATCGGTGTGCCGGTGCGGTGTGTAACCTCCGGTTCTGCCCAGGTCGTGAGGCACCGCTGACTCGGTGAAAGTCGTCGGTCCGCGTTGTCCTGAAGCGCGAGTTTCATCGAGTAAGCGTGCTTCACTCCTCCGCTCGTGATAGGTGCGCTCCCGGGAATGACAGTGCTGCTGTGTCATGTGACCACTGGAATAAATGCATTACTACAGATGATTGTCGTTGCTCTTCCGACGCTAGCCAGAACGGCGGGTGTCCGCAGTTTTCATCTAGGACTTTATGTGGTGTGGTCAGATCTTTCTGCTTTGGCCTAAGCTTTGGCCTACCGTGCGCTTGGGTTTCTCAGGTCACTGACTGATCACTCAGGTCCGGTTTCCACTGATCGGGGTTCATTGTCGCCACTGATCGTGAGCTGCAGTAAACAGGGAGCGTCCAGCCGGGTAAGTGTGGCCGGAGTGCAGTGCTGCGCGCACAAAGCACTGCTCGATGCGGGAGTGGGCCTCGCAAGCAGTGCGCGAGCTGCAGTAAACAGGGAGCGTCCAGCTGGGTAAGTGTTGCCGGAGTGCAGTGCTGCGCGCACAAGGCACTGCTCGACGCGGGAGTAGGCCTCGCACGCAGTGCGCGTGACTTACGGAACATTTGTGAAACTTCGCATCGATCGCCATGGGAGATCTGAATTGGGTTAGGCCTCCTCGCTTCGGGCGGCGCAGCCACGCCGCGTTGAAAGTCTGGTGTGCCTTCTCACGGTTCGTGGTGCGAACACTTGCCAGTCTCGATTGTTGAAACCCAGACACTTCAGCTCATCACACTTTTATTAAAATGCCCTTAACTTCGCAAAATACGAGCACATTTTAGCGGTTTCAAAGCACGTGTCGTGTTTGTACTGGGTACGTGGGTGTGTACGCCAACAAAAACACTGTGCCGTGTATCGTCCCAGCACACAATGACAGACGGGTCTCGAGCGAGGTCGGCTGGCGTCGGCGGCGCGAAGAAGACCCGGCGGCAAGGTTTGCGGAGAAGCAATCGCAGCGTATTGCTTGGAGCGCATGGCTACTGATCTGAGGAACGCGGCGCCAACGTGTTCTTCATCGCAGCCACACAGATATAAACCTGAACATCTCACCTCTGTCGGCTGCGGGGAGGGCGAGTCAACATAGAACCTCTTCAAAGGCAATGGCTTACAGCTGCTGGTTACGACTAGTAGACAGAGAGTTAAACCTATAACCAACCGAGGTATCTATATACAGAACGACCCACGACACGCACAACACGGCCCACTTACAGAAACTTGTATTGCGGTGTTGACTGAGGCGCGTCAGCGCACAAATCCGGCGTGGTGAGGGGAACCGGCGTGAACAAACCACCATCAGCAGGGGCTGCTGACCATGTGTGTGCAGACCAGAAACCCAGTGACGTTGCCTGTCAGCGGCTCGCATCCACCTGCGGCCTTTACCCCACGGCCCATTGCTTTGCGAGGCCCGCGAGGCCTTCCCATCGGCCTCCATTCATTTGTTCTGAAAGAGGAGCATCCTCCGAACCAGTCTGTCCGACATGGGTATATCTCCGTGTCGAGTATGCGATCTTAATGCAACCAACGGCCAATTTCCGAAAACGAAACCCTGACATTCATCCCTTTTTGAATACCGTCCTACAAACATTGGGCAACGTGCCATGTCACAAGTGTCACTGATTCCTCACATTGATGGCTTAAAAATATACATGTTAAGTAAGGGCGAACTGCTTCGGCTCACACGCTCCCAGAATGGGAACGGAAAATGGCGCACATTGCCGTCTCGCTTTTTGAGATGGGGTACGAGTCGTGAACGCAGGAGCTGGGTTCGGTTCCCACGCAGTGTCGCATTGACTGGTCGCTGGTGGGAACCGACTTGCGAAGGTGGTGACCGTCCCAGTCGCACACGTGGACACACTATAACCATAACGCTTTGCTTGTCATCAACGCCCGCTTTGGCAGTGACTGAAGGCGTGGCTACTCCGTATGCAACACGCTCACTTGGACACATCCGCCTATAGCTTGTCGGCAGTGTTGTATGGCAGACGTAAGTATGGGCGGCGCGCTCCTCATTATAGTGCCTGATGTGTGGTAACATGCTTAGTTGATATATAACGTCAAAATATTGTAAAACGAGTACCCTACGTGTGAAAACATGCCATTAAATTTTTGGCGCGCCGCCAGCGATGGAAAGTGACATTCAGTGCATTTAAATGCCAGTCAGAACAAACAACAATCAGCTGCAAAGCCGCTTTACCATTACATGCATACACAACAAATAAACTGCTGGAATGTGCTCACAGGTTAAAACAGGTGGAAAGCGGAGCCAATGCCAATGTTTGCTACATAGCCTTCGAAACGACATTAAAAGTCACAAGCTCGAATGGCTAGGTAAGCGCGATTTTTGAAGATCCTTATTCGAATCGCTCACTTAAATGCTGCAAATCAATCACTCACTGCAAATTAATGCTGACCGCTACTAGACAAAACGAGACAGAGCTGATAATCCATCTGCTAGCTGGAACATGAAATTTACTCGTGTTTAGAAACAGGTCAACAAGCATTTCATGCCCTGGAATGTGCAACTACGTGTGAAGCAACAGGAACAGCGCTGAACGTAACAATCCCAGTTCTGCAAGGGTGGTGCACCCATAGTCGTGCTCCCATTCCTCCTGAATGATATCGTCCAAGTCGTGTCTGAACTAACTGCGCTACTTACCTTGTTCCCCGTTGGAATAAATAGCCTGATCACCAACCGTAGCCACTACCTAGTTTCGTTGTAATGCACCTCTCGTTAAACGCTCGCCAAGTGAGGTAAACAGTCCGTTTCACTCGCAGTCAGCACGGCAAGGTGTATTAGCAGCCGCCTGTTTCAGTCCTCTCGGCGCTCTCTGGCAGTGCGGCCTGTTATTAGCTGCGCGCGGGCAGTGGTAAATTGGCAGTGAGTGGACACCTGTCCAAGCGGGCTGGTTTTCAACCCGGGCAAATCCCTCCCCGACGCCCTGCGCGGAAATGCTCAACGAAACGGCAGCTAGGCTCCGTTTCTTCGCTGAAGGTAGTCCTGCAACGTTTCAGCCAATCTCTTGGAATAGGTGGGGCTTCAGGTTCTGTGGTGTGATCCGGTTCCGCACAGGGGTTGTTGAATAGTGGCGCCCGTGATGGCCGCGTGTGCGCTGGTGAGTAGGTCTGAATTGGGTGACAACGTAACGAACACTGCAATCCGACTGCTCTGAATACCACCGTAGGGCAGGGGTCAGACCCCTGCACAACGCTGCATCTGACTTCTTGACCGGACAACTGCCTCGCAACAGGCTGTGGATCCCGCCATCTATCGGCATCTGCCTCAACTGATAGAGGTCAGGTCGTCCGGTTGGTGTCGCCGTCAGCAGATGCACCCGCGCAGGCAGCCGGCGGCCGACGATCACAAGGTGCCGCGGTGCGCCATGTCCAGGCGGCGGTCGCGGCGCACCTTATCGCCGCCGGCCGTCTCGCGCTGCCTGTTGTACAGGCTGGTGGGGCGCGCCGCACCGCTGGCGCAGGTCAGCGAGGCCGTCAGGGGTGCTGTGCTCCACTGCTTGCCGCGCAGCAGCCGTTCCTGACCGGACACAGGGCGTGCGGTTAGTGGGCCGCGAGTCTGGTTAGAGGTTTGCACCATCAGTTAGTGGGCTGCGGCTCCGGTGAGCAGGCATCGTCTCTAGTCAGTAGACCTGGTCTTCAGTCAGTGGCCCTCGTCCCTTGTCAGTGGCCGTCATCTCCAGTCAATGGGCCTCGTCTACTATCGGTTGGCCTCGTCTCCGGTCAACAATCCCTGTCCAAAGTCAAAACATCTCATTTCCAGTCAGTGGCCCTTATCTCCAGTCAGTAGACCTCTTCCCCAGTCGGTGGTTTTCGCCTTCAGTCAGAAGACCCCGTCTCCGGTCAATAGACCTCGTCTCCAGTCAGTAGACCTCGTCCTCAGTCAGTGGGCTGCGCGCCTAGTCGCGGGCCGCGTCTCCAGTTAGTATGCATGATCGGCATGCGTTCAAACGCTGGTCCACAGCAACAAGGCTTAGTGCTTCGTTGTTAAGGCAAGGGTTGGAATCTAGTAGCGGTTGGGTTTTTAGGGGCGCGTGGCCTGCAGCGGTCAGTTGGCATAACAATTCTGTTGAACAGCCTTCTTTGATTGGCGCAGCCACTGCAAAGGTCAGAGAGCGGACACCTTGGTCAATGCTTTGTAAGTCAACAAGGTATCGGCAAAGCAAGGTCGCTGGTCAGTAAAGTTTCTTACAGAAATGCAAATTAAAGTAGTGGAAATTCTGGGGTCGGCGTCGGTGAAGCGCTTCCACGGAGTCAAATGCGGGGCAATGTGGGGTTTCCAAACCAGTCTTGTCAAAATGAGGGGCACTGGTCCAAATGGGAGCCAGCAGAGCTTCAAGTGATCTTGGTTGCACCGTCATTATATTGAATCGAGGCCGTGCTGACAAGTGAGATGCATAACGTCTGGTTAATATTTCTGTTACCGTCAAATTGTGAGAATGTGATATCAGCAACAAGGCGAATAACGCCATGAAACTACCGCCAAATTGTGAGATTGTGATATTAGCAGCAAGGCGAATAATGAAAAAACAGCGATAAACAATATACGGGACACCTAGCCTATTTAAGCGGTTGCGGCTCACGCAGCTCTTCCGTCCATGCGCTACTTACCAGTATAATAAGCAATACGCCCAGAAACTGGTTGCAATAAAGGTAGCACTACGTTGGATGCAGCAGACCCATACTGGACCATGCGTGCCCACTAGCAGGACTCACATTTTGATATGGGTGTATTCATTCAGGAGGAGGAAGGCTAGCGGACATGCCCCACAATTTTGCCGTACAAATATTTTGTGACCTCCGATCTTGCCTGTAGAATGCTCGTGCTAACCCTTTTTTGAAGCTGAAAATTACATGAACATAAAAATTAATTTTCAGGTCAGGTTGTCTCCCGAGATGTCAGCATGGGCCGGCCATCTTCATTTGTTCTCCGACTTCAGAGACGTTATTAAACCCACGTTGGGAATATCATCAGAGACCCCGCATACGGACACCATGTTTGGCTATGCGAAGCCTCCTTCTGTCGGTTTGAATGACATCACCAGCTCAAAGCCAACTTGCCAACCTCTCCCCACAAGCCCAAAGTCCACCCGCAGTGGTTTTCCAGTTCGTATTCAGCGCACATATAGGGATAGATACCACAGATTGAGCCACCTGCACAGCTTGGGATGCTGTCCGGCACCGGGCACCAGTCACCGGACACCAGTCATTGGACACCAGTCACCGGGCACCAGTCGTTGGGCGCCAGCCATCGGGCGCCAGTCATCGGGCACCAGTCATTGGGCACCAGTCATCGGGCACTAGTCATCGGGCACCAGTCATCGGGCACCAGTCATTGGGCACCAGTCATCGGGCACTAGTCATTGGATGCCAGCCATTGGACACCAGTCACCGGGCACCAGTCACTAAGTAACAGACGCTACGGTTTGCCGGATGGCCATTCAGTCAGCTTCATTACAAAAATACGCTTTTCATGTCAGAACCGACCGCATCCATATCTGTATCGACCGCGCCCGTGTCCCTCCTCCGGTCTCAGCATGATCTGCTCGGAAGTCAGCTGCCTGATTATCCTGGCAGAGGTGTTCGTGGGACGACAGAACACCGGATAAAGAATGACCGAATCCTCTGGCGAGCCCAACCCAGACCGTCGCAGCACTGCGAACCCATGCAGCTGGCAGGGGCTACCTGTCAGGTAAAGACACTATGTGTGCACAGCATTGCGCACGTATAGTATTGTGGTTTTGAATGCGACCTTCGCGGTACAGCATGCAAAGAAACAAATAGTAGAGAGGGACGAATCATTTAGTGTACCACAACTAAACATATAGAATAAAGGCACGCTTCGCAATCAGATACAAAGTCATGTTGCAGGGGATGGTCGCTGATTGCATGGGACAGAATTAAGCCATAAAGAGGCTCAGTCCTGTCCATCACCCATAGTTCTGCATCACACCATCGGTACACACAAAAAACGGTTACACTCAAAGGCTACATATGTAAACGTTTCCATAGAATTAAGCGTTGGGAGAAACAGCCGTCAAACAACTGAAAGGTACTCCTCATCTAAGCTGAGATCTGCATAAATGTCATCTATCTACTACAAATAAAAATATGCGAGCCATCTGGCTATTTTTTTCACGAGCATGCGCATTCTATGCCACTCGCTAAGAATAAATATCAGAATCACACTGTCATCACTCACTAGAGAACATCACGTGCCCCACTACTAAGGATACATATGCGACACATCTGGCCGTCTCTTTCAATGGGCTACACTTGTATCAAAACACAACGGTCCTTCCGCCACCAGTCCTCCACTCCGAGTCCGGTAGACCGCACTGCCACCTACGAGCGACACCAGAACCAGCGCTCGCGCTGCCACCTAGGAGCGGCCCCGGAACCACGACCGTGCTGCCACTTAGGAGCGGCCCCGGAACCAGCGGTCGTGCTGCCACCTAGGAGCGGCGCCAGAACCAGCGGTCGACACTCACCAGGCTGACACAGTGAAGCACAGCGGCGCCCACCGAGCTGCGCCGACTGTTCATCGGCGGCTCCTGCTTCCAGCGGTTCAGTCGATCGTCGTAGCTCTCCACCGAGTTGAGGCTGGAGCTGCCGTCGTTGCCGCCCACGGCGTACAGGCGGCCGCCCATGTAGATCAGCTCATGGGTGGACCTGCGGCGGGGCGGACGGCGCCGGCGCGCTTCAGCCGTCTGCTGACGTGCTATGTTTGACGACATTCGTCGGGCCGTATGTAAGCCTGCGCCGGGACCAATGTCACCCGCAAACCTTACCTGTATTGCAGTCACCAGCTCGGTGACGTCATCCATTTACCGCTTCAGACAGCCCGCTAGGCTATAACCAGCGTGACATGAGTTCAGTTCAAAGCTGACAATCAGCACAGCCTAAATCGATTCGACTTCGCAATGCAGGCACCGCTCGTAACGTACGCACCGCCCTGCAGTGCAGCCTGTAGCCTGCGTTACCGCACGCCGTCCCAGACCTGACCTGACCTGACCTAGTGCGGCGGCTCTAACCTGCGGGACTGCATGCTGGCGACGCTCTCCCAGGTGTTGCTGCGCAGGCTGAACTTCTCGCCACTGGACTGACACATGGTGCCGTCATTGCCGCCAACGCAGTAGAGCCAGTCACCGACGGCCTCCACGCCGCAGCTGCTCCGTCTGGCGGACAGGGGTCGGTGGTGGGCGGGCGGCAGCCGATGCCGACCATCGCAGCCGCTGACACAAAGCCGCTGACACAGAGGCGCTGACACAGAGCCGCTGACACAGAGGCGCTGACGCAGAGGCACTGGCACAGAACCGCTGACAGAGCCGCTGGCACAGAGCCGCTGACACAGAGGCGCTGACGCAGAGGCACTGGCACAGAACCGCTGACAGAGCCGCTGGCACAGAGCCGCTGACAGAGCCGCTGGCACAGAGCCGCTGACACAGAGCCGCTGACACCGGCCGGCGGTGTCTAGCGGAGCGGCAGCTCGGTCCATGACCGCAACAGAAAGAACCCAGGACGTGCGAGACTCGCATGGACACGTGTTTTGCATCGACACATGCTGGCTCCCGTCACATCCAGCAGACGCCAACATTGCCTGATGCACGTCAGCTGATCTGTTGGGTGGCCCACATAGTTGAGAGCTCATATAGCCGAAGGCTATATGAGCTGCACTTTACTCCACTTTTCCAGGCCACACACCCCATTACAAACTGCATTTCGCTTCCAACTTGGGCATATTTCCCGCCGTCCTCCTGAAATGCTGGTCGAGACACAGATGAGGTGCTCCCACGCGTGAGAACGGAGTCCAGCGAGCGCCGCCTTGTAACGAGACCGTCCTGCTCTATGGTGGGCTGTCTTATGCTTTCCAGAATTGGAAGGTGGAGTAAGAGCTTGCTCAGGATTGCTTTGAACGTATTACGTGTAGACTGCCGCTTTAGTGGTCCCTCAACACACCACCGGGTGGCCGGTTGAATACCACGCGCCCGGGCAGCGTCGTATTCGAGGTCGTATTCAATGCCGGTGACGTCGACAACTCGACCCCTTTGAAATGTAAAAAAGTAACAGCTAGAGACAAAAAACCACAGGGCATACATGGCTGTTTGAGACTTCGTTTGTGCGAAATTTTAACATTTCTAGGTCGTAACCTCCGGGTCAACTAAGTTTAAAAAGGTCAAATACCAATTTATTATCGGAAGTGTAGTCAGACCCGACGTAACCAACGTAAACCACGATATCTTTTTCAAGCGAAACATCATCCACGGCCATTTCAGGTCAGTGATTTCATCTGACCTTTGGAAGGTGAAAATAATGATCGGGATGATTATTCCTAATTATTGTGACGGTTGATATTGATAAGTTATCAACCTAATTTCGATTGTGACGTTCTCTCTGCAGTCACCTCAAGGCCGTGTGACTTTCTCTGAAACTTTCTCATTGCATTAGCCTGCAGACTACACAAAGAATTGACTTCGCTGGCAACTGTGGCCTGGCTTTTATCGGCTACAGGTGAGAGGTCTTGAAAATGATCGTGTTTTCTGGTCCTGTGGGATCGGTCACTTCCTCACAGTTAAACAAAGACTGACATTACCGCGTTACAGCATTCGGAAGTTATGTTGGCAAGGTGGGAATGGGGGCGTCAAATCGATCCGCCCATCCCATAGCGCCTTAATCTAGCACGGCAGTGTCATTACATAATGTGACATGTCAGCAGATAACTTACTCTCAACGCATAATGCATGCATACATAACGGTTGGCGATACGCCTCTAAATACGGCAAAAGCAGAAGAATTTAGACCACAGGCTTCCAACAGAGGATGACAATGAAAAAATGAAACCCATAAAAAGCTGAACAAACGTGACGTAAATGATCAATTCCGGCTTTAACCACCGGACACAGTTGAAGCAAGTTGCGGCAATGACCGAATATATTGCCAATTTGGTCCATGTCGTCTGCACGCGGTCGGTCTATTGACTAATGGCGACCGGTCCCACGCTCCGTCAAGTCGTCGGTGGCAGGCTTGTACCACGGCGGCACCTGTCATGTCCCTGACACGCCACTGCTGACACAGCGGCACGCCGGCGTCGTGGCCCGCCCGCAGTACACCGGCGGTCGTCCACAGCAACAAAGCACGACCTGCAGCCATTACACCGAAGTCGTCCACACAACACAGCAGGAGCCGCCGGGATTACACAGGCGGCCGTCTTCAGCAAAAAAGGCGCGATTTGCTAGGATTACACGGAACTCGCCCCCACAACAAAGAATGAACCGCGAAGATTACACGGAAGCCGTCCCCCAGAACAAAGCACGACCCGCCGGGAGTACACAGACGGCAGTACCCCCAAACAAGGCAGGAACCACACGGAGTACACAGACGGCCGTTCCATACAACAGAGCATGACCCGACTGGATTACACGGAGCCGTCTCCCGTAACAAAGTACGAACCTACTGGAACACACGGTCGGCCATTCCCTAAAACAAAGCACGGCCCGACTGGAACACACGGACGGCCGTTCCCTACAACAAGGCACGGCCCGACTGGATTGCACGGAAGTCGTCGCCCAAACAAAGCAGGAACCACCGGGAGTGCATGGACGGCCGTCCTCGGCGAGGAGACGCGGCACCTTCGCCACGGACACCACTTCCACGGGGCTGACCGACACAGCTGCCCGTCAACTGGTGCCGCAGCCGGCGGCGGCGCCACACACCACCGCCGCGCCGCCTCCCCGCTCGGCCGGCCGTGCCGAGTCCTCCGGCGCGCCGAGCCGCCCGGTGGGGGCGGCGGTGTTGTTTTGTCCGGCGGCCGGCGTCGGGGACAGCGGGGTCCCGGCAGCCGGGCGCGGCTCGATGATCGACGCCGGCCTGGTCGGCGCGACGGGCCGTGTTTTGACAGCGCGCCTCCCCACTGCTGTGACGGACGAGCCAGGCTCACGCGTAGGCGGCGCCGCGGCCGACCAGCCACACAAGGACGCCGGGCACGTGCCGAACGTAAACGCACTGGACTGGACGGAAAGTCGCCGAACACATGGCGAGCGTAAACGCACTGGACTGGACGGAAAGACGCCGAACACATTCCGGACGAAACCGCACTGGAATCGACGGAAAGAGCTACAGTGAAATCGATGACCGACAGCGTAGATGCATCGGATTGGGTGGACACAGGCAGAACGTGTTAACAGAACAAAGGCACAGGGATGATAGGCTATAGCCGTACGGTGGCTGGCATGAGCGTTGGTAGCCGATTCAAATCGCCGCTGTGCTACTGTGATGTAGGTTTGCGTATGCCGTGCGTTACCGATGAATACGCATATCTACACGTTTCGTTCATAGAAATGGGGGTCTGAGTAAGTTGATGAAAGACATTTTTGGGTCGTTACCTATCAAGAAGGTATTCACTTTGCCTGCGGGCTATCGTGCCTGCAGGGGAGGTCAGAAGATGGAAGCTCAAATTGGAGTGATGAAGTGATGATGTCCATTTTGGGTGATGCATTCTGCAGATAATACAGATAGCACCAGAAGGTTTAGGAATCTTACTAACACATTTCTCTGTCTTGCGCAATGAAGCGTTCATAATATCACTGAATGCCAAATAGGAATAGCTTGAAACAACGAGCATCGAGGGAGTCAATTAAAAATAACAAGATGCTCCAAACCATTAACAAGCTGACCAAATGCCTAGTTCTGAGATAGGGAGCATTGGGGCTGCCCTACACACTCTCACCGCTACTCTGCGCCGTTTTTACGGGCCACACTGCTCGCGCGGACGCTGCAGCTGGCGGACGTAACTCCTGCGCAGCGCTCGGCCTGCTCGAGGAGGCTCACCCACCAGGCAACAGAGTCGTGACGCGGGGACAGACATGGCAGATCGTGACAGAGATGACGTGGGATCAGGAGAAACAATGTGTCGCGTGATCTGCGGGTAAATTTGCGGACAAATTGTTACGCAATGTCTGTCCCGAAGAGCGAGGAAGCTGCCACCGCTTTCGCAAACCCGTCGTCTCATCCCTCTCTCCCATCAAACACCGGCGGTGATTCGCACTGACACGACGTTTAGCTTCGTCGAATCCAAACATGCATCACGCCACACCCACACCTAGAACCAGCTACATGCTGCCGATGGACGGAGTTTGTTTTACACGACAGGTCAGCCATGAATCGCGGCTGGCGCTCTCAGCGACCCCGGAACAACGGGCGTCGCGAGTGGGCGGTCACCAGGAATAACAAAGACCTCTGACCCGTGCCAGCGGGGCGTCCCGGGCGCCGGCGTCCGGAGACGCGTCCCGGGCGCCAGCGTCCGGAGATGCGTCACGGACTCCGGCGTCCGGAGACGCGTCACGGACTCCGGCGTCCGGAGATGCGTCACGGACTCCGGCGTCCGGAGACGCGTCACGGGCTCCAGCGTCCGGAGATGCGTCACGGGGCTCCGGCGTCCGGAGACGCGTACCGGACTCCGGCGTCCGGAGACGCGTCACGGGGCTCCGGCGTCCGGAGACACGTCACGGGGCTCCGGCGTCCGGAGACGCGTACCGGACTCCGGCGGTGCACCGCTCATTCCGCTGAGTTTGCACACCAGGTCGCTAACTTTTTTTGCTGAGGGATAACCATTCCTCTTGCGGAAACAAACCCCTTGCAGAGCTGGTGAAACCTTCTTGTCTGTCCTCAGCTTCCTCAGATTTTGGAAAAGCCACAGAATTGATGGGTTTTATTTTCCAGTTGGATAGCTGACGGTGGAAAGATGATCTACAGTCCCTTGTAGCGATGCCCATAATTTCATCGAACACAATCCTGGCCCAGGATGAGAATTCCAATAACCATCCGCATGAAACGTACCAGGCGGCACAGTGAAACCCAATCTTGCCAGAAATATTTGAAATGAATTAACCGAGTTCGTGTGGCCTCCTATTCCCATTATACCAGAATGCATATGAGTACGACTATTCTTCAGATATTTGTATGCAGGATTTATTCACGAGAGAGAGAGAGAGAGAGAAAGAAAGACAGAGAGAGAGAGAGAGAGAGAGAGAGAGAGAGAGAGAGAGAGAGAGAGAGAGAGAGAGAGAGAGAGAGAGAGAGAGAGAGAGAGAGAGAGAGAGAGAGAGAGAGAGAGAGAGAGAGAGAGAGAGAGAGAGAGAGAGAGAGAGAGAGGAGAGAGAGAGAGAGAGAGAGAGAGAGAGAGAGAGAGAGAGAGAGAGAGAGAGAGAGAGAGAGAGAGAGAGAGAGAGAGCCGGACGTATATTGGCTGCGCTGGAGCATTACACCGCTCAAGGGTATCTACGCCAGTCTTGACCGGTCAAAAGGTAAATTATAAGATGGTTTGCTGAACTAGCTCACATCTCTCAACTTAGGAATTTATAGCATTGCATGACTAGGAGCGAGGCCATCGGCGGAGTATTCCTCGTTTGAACTGTGGGGAAGGGTCAGTTGGCACGTCCCGATGCTGCCCATTTCTCACGCTTTCTGGGACTTCATAGTTTTCAACGTTTTCAGCCACTGGAAGTGCAACTCTTCATTCATTCCTCCTCTTGAAGACTGTCTGATGCAAGGCGCCCAGAGATGTCATCGGACTGGAGCAGGCATTGCCATGTTTTTGAAGCTTTTTTTAACCCCGACTTAAGCTATTATTAACCTATTAATTATTTACTAGCCTGCTGTATATTCATATTCGACTTATTATAACCTTTCTATTATCTAAGCTTTTTTCGACTCCGGCTCCGAATTACCAGTCTGCTTTTTACAGGTTCCCAATGGTGTCTGGCTGGATTACTTCAGCTTTGGTAGTGTCTATGTTACGAAAGTAATAAATAGCTTCACATCTGTTACTGAACACTCGCTCCATGTCCCCGCAGTCTTACTGGTGCACTCGGACGTCGAGCCATTCATGCAAGGCGCTACGAGTGAAGGAGCCGTACCTGTTGGACATGGGCGGCAGGCTCATCCACTTGCCCACCCTGGGGTCCAGGCGCTCCAGCGAGCTCAGATAGGAGGCAGAGTCGAAGCCGCCGACGGCGTAGAGGCAGTTGTCTGACGGCATCGGTCACAGTCACATGCAATAAAAAACAGGCTTATACAACGATCTTGGACAACAAGCTACTCCGCCGTAGGCTGGGACAAAACAGCAGACAAGCAATCATCGTTTTTAACACCAATCTGGACAGCGAAGCGCGACCGGACGTCTCCAAACCTGGCCTGAGGTCATGTCAGGCCTGAAGACGCTGTCGTCACCACTGACCCATGGCGGCGAGCCGGCAGTAGCGGCGGCGGGACAGCATCTGGGGCAGCGAGGACCAGCTGTCGGCCAGCGGGTCGTACCGCTCCACACTGCTCAGGCACGAGGCGCCGTCGTAACCTGAAGGCACAGCACGGAGCGGTCACTGGCGGCCTGTAGGCTGAACAACACTGCCTTGAGCCAATTCACAACACCGACGCAGCAATGAAGCAGCCGATAGAGCTGGCGGCTGCATATCTTATCATTTAGTCAAGTTGGACAAATTGCCATTGAGTGAGATCAAAATCGCTACATGCCGAAAGTGGGCTTCACTCAGGCTGTCCGATGCAGCTACCTTTTCATTACACCTACACGCTCCAGCCGGTCAGCGGCGGGCCGCCCCTGACCTCCGCAGCAGTAGATGAGACCGTTGAGTCCGGCGGCGCCGAAGCAGCTGCGCTTGGTGCCCATGGGCGAGACGTAGCTCCAGGTGTTTGCCAGCGGGTGGTAGGTCTCGGCCGAGCTGAGGTCGCTGGAGCCGTCGTAGCCGCCGATGACGTACAGGCGACGGCCGGCCGTGGCCACGCCGGCACGTGAGCGCCGCGTGTTCATGGCGGCCACCGAGAGCCACCGCTCCAGCCGAGGACTGTACACCTCGCACTCGGAGTGTACGGCGAACAGACTGCCGCCGCCTGCCGGCCAGACAGCGTGTGGGCAAGGTGGCACCGGGGTGGGCGACGTGGACGGCGCGGCTTCACAATCATGCGGCGTGAACCGCTCTACATCTGCTTGTCGTGCATACCTGCCGTGTACATCTCGTACATCTCTGCTGTCAAAGAATTGGGGAGCCATGACGCCTTAATGCATCCTTTGTCTTATCCTTGATACCTGGGAATAACTTCCGCTTTGTTCAATGACGCATGACACTGTTTCTGAGCGATGGTTTGACAATGTGTCATGCTCCTTGCACCTGTGGAAAGTATAATGTGGTAGATAGCTTATCTTAAACGCATTTGGCCAGTCTACTCTCACCGCAGCGTATAGCATAACCACAAGATGACGTAAAATGCGTGGGAACCCCTCGTTCACATACAGCCTGACGAGACGGAGCCGGCTCACCGACGGAGAAGAGGTAGGGCGCGGCGGCGTCCGGACGGCGGTCGGCGGTGCGCGCGCTGGCCATGGAAGCGCGCTGCTCGGGCAGCAGGTGGTACTTGAGCGCCTCGAGCAGCAGCTCCCGACAGGCCGGGTCGTCGCGCAGCAGCGGCTCCTGGTCCACGGTGCTCACCAGGAAGTGGCGCGGCAGCAGCGGCAGCTTGACGTGCGACATCAGCTGCGGCACGGCCGGTCGGACATTCACCGACGGGGTTCTTCCCGACACCCTCGGGTGACATGCTCCCGGGTCAGCGGCGGGAGCGGCACCGAGCAGAGACGTATGGTCGAATGGTCAGCGCCTTGGACTCCCACGTGGGGTTCGAATCCCGGTTGCGCCATGGCCCTGAACGCTAATCCATGGCCCTGAACGCTAATCCATGGCCCTGAACGCTAATCCATGGCCCTGAACGCTAATCCATGGCCCTGAGCGCTAAGCCTTGGCTCTGAGCGCTAAGCCTTGGCCCTGAGTGCTAATCTATGGCCATGAACGCTGTGACCAGCGCAGTCGCCGGCGCTCCAAAAAAGGCGTGACGACGTGCGTCGCGTTCCCTTTTTTAAAAAGGGACAAAGGATTCCCGTTTTGGCGACAGAGACTGGAGGGAGCCGGTCATGGCGGAACATCACATCCAGTGGCGGACGCTGATGTGGCATTTCACCTCGACTCAATGTTAGGTGGAGCGAAGTCGGACAATCATGTGCACAAAATGTTGGGTGATTTGTCAAAGTTTACTGTTCGTCTGATCCACCGACACATCAGTCTGATCCACCGACACATAATTTTGATCCACCGACACATAATTTTGATCCACCGACACATACGTCTGATCCACCGACACATACGCACACCTGGTGGAACTGCAAGCGCTCTCACTGGCAGAGTTTAACATGTCCGTCCCGATGAGCGCAAGCCACCCGCGTAACTCACGGGGGCATGGGAGGGGCGGAGGGCGGAGGCACGGGACGTCATCTCAAGCCATGGGCCCGCAAATATTCCCTCAACCGTGAAATTGCCGCTCTTAAACGCTCCGCGGGGCTGCGCTCATGCGTCACCAGAGGTCGGCCGCGGATGCATCGAATAATTTCTCGCCGACCATAAAACCTGAGCACCATAGCTCATTCATAATCCATTTTGCGGATCACCGCGGTCCACGTCTGTTATTGGGCTTTATAGCGGGCTGGGCGGTATTTAGAAATGATAGCCGGTCGGCTGATGGCCTCCCAGAGGGTCGGCCACGAGGGATGTAGGTGAAGGGTGGGCGCCACCCACGCAGCAGGCGCCGCTCGGGCCCCGCCGACTCAGGTTCAGCTCACGCCTCCTGCCCACATCAGGCACGGCACCGAGCGAGGTGTCACATCGGCTGACGACGAGGGTCGGAGCCAGCGTGCGTCAATGCACAATCAGGCAGAACTGCCTTCATCCTGAGGTTGACATCTCTGTTTGTCGACGGTGCGGTTTGACGGGAAAGGAATCTGCAGCTTGGGGTGATGATTCGGTCTCCTGGAAACTGCGATCTCCCCGCACTAATGCTCCACCCTAAGACCGTAATCTCCGACGTCAAAACGCTTTTCCTCGGACGGCGCTGCCTCCGCTCAAACGACCGTGTACCCTGCATTTTTTACACCGTATTCACTGAAGCCTCAGGTAACAATGCTGCCACTATCAGCTTATGATATGAGCCCACCCTGGTTAAATGACCCAGACCCAGCAGCACCATACAGGTCCGTTGTTGCGCACCTCCGACACGTGCTGTTTGCGTTCCGCCTCGGCGTGTCGCACCCACTTGACCACTGACCGGAACACCGTCTCCTCGTCCGCCACGTTCATCTGGTTGCTGGCTATCAGCTCATTCACCTGGCAGGAGAGGCGGCACGCGATCGTTTCTTTATTACGCCATCACGTTATGAATGCCGACACAAGAAGGCATGACGTTTTCAAATACGAAAGCCGTACGAAATACAGCTATGTTGAAGAATCTGAACGAATCAACAGCGGGCGAAGACACTCCGTGAGATGATGGTAGGTGCGTGCAAATGGGAGACCCCTAATTCCCGCCAATATACGCGCTAATGCATCTTGACTTTGTTTCTAAAAACCTTCTCACAAAAAGAATACATACGTGCGCATCGGTTGCAGCAGCAAAACAGGAAATCGAGGGGACACCAAAAGCTGGTAGCATTGGGAGGGCTGGTGCAGCACGAGGTGTGGCTGTTAGCCTGACAATTTTGGCATGGTCTAGATCTGTGAGAAATTAAGCCTAAATGGATGGCGACAGAATGGCTTTCAGAAGCTAAGGCGCCATTAGGCTGCGATTAAATACGGCTGGTCGATTGCCAACTCTTTGAAAGCCAAACAGCCGGAGCCGCTGTTCGCGGCGGTCCAACGCCACCATTGATGCAAGTTCGGCACGAAAAAGCTCTCCGGACGGCGATATGGTCTGCAGCTACACAGCGCGCCGGAGCAGTGCTGAACGTGTTCTGACCTGCTTGAAGGGGAGGAAGAGGAATTCTTCCGTGCCACAGACTTCCTGGAAGTTTTGAAGGGCAAACTTGTGGGACCGGAGCTGAAGTTCGCCGCAGGCATGGGCATCTGAAAAGCAAAGCACTTCTGAAAACATCGCTTGACTGAGGCCCGAACGGTGCTGGACTGTCGGCCGCTTTGGAATGTGGTTGTGTGTAACTGTCGGCTGCTTTGGACTGTACTTGTGTGTGACTGTCGGCCGCTTTGGACTGTGCTTGTGTGTGACTGTCGGCGGCTTTGGAATGTGCTTGTGTGTGACTGTCGGCCGCTTTGGAATGTGCTTGTGTGTGACTATCGGCCGCTTTGGAATGTGCTTGTGTGTGTTTGTGGGGAGCTCAAACGACCTTTTCATGCTCTCTTTGCATCAGAAGGAAAACAATATTGAAGAATTTTGGCTCAAATGTATAAGTCAAAATGCATACGCCTGCATGCATCAAAATATAGAAGCACAAACTTCAATTTCAAAATGTTACCTCACTGGCATACGTGATTGCTGCTAATCAGCAGGAGTGCGTCAATGGTTTGCGAGGCGCGGATTAAAACGAATAACAATGCGTTTCAGGTCCATATACCAACAGTTTACTTCTGGACCACGCTCGTTACACCTTATTGTGGACAAAGGAATGCTTTGCGTCAGGTATGCGCGATACAGTTTTTTGATCCGCGAGGACATCAGGTAGTTGAAGATGCTAAACTACAGACATCAGTCCTCCTGCCGATCGAGAGTAATTTCCGCGGAATGTTCCCACTTGCTGCACTTGCTCGGCCCGCCACCTGCGGTCGCCGACGTCACCAGGGAGGGGTGGCAGCCTAGGAGCCAGGGCCCACCTGCGAAGCTGCGTATGCCCAGGCAGTTGGAGGGGTGCAGCTGCTTCAGCAGGAAGTAGCAACAGGCTTCTCGTACACCGTTCAGCTGCAGCAGACTGGAGGCGGGCAGCAGGACCTGCGGGGACCAGCAGTGTCCGTCAGTGGCGACCCGGTCACCCGGAACCACTCCAGCAGCAGGACCTACGGGGACCAGCAGTGCCCGTCAGGGGCGACCCGGCCACCCGGGACCACTCCAGCAGCAGGACCTACGGGGACCAGCAGTGTCCGTCAGGGGCGACCCGGTCACCCGGAACCACTCCAGCAGCAGGACCTACGGGGACCAGCAGTGCCCATCAGGGGCGACCCGGCCACCCGGGACCACTCCAGCAGCAGGACCTACGGGGACCAGCAGTGCCCGTCAGGGGCGACCCGGTCACCCGGAACCACTCCAGCAGCAGGACCTACGGGGACCAGCAGTGCCCGTCAGGGGCGACCCGGTCACCCGGGACCACTTCAGCCACCGCCGACCGTGGCCGGCCCTGCAGCTGCCTCGCCGCCGGCATACCGGAGCATTCGGCCGGGCATTCTGTCCAGTTTCGCACGATCTAGGACAGGCGGAAACGTCGAAATCTGTCCCCCGGGGCGTGTAAACGTCCACGTCGTAAAATCCGGGAGGCTACGACACGGCGTAAAACGGCTCGCCCTACACCACGGCGGGCGACGCCAAAAGTTCCGGTGGTTCGATATCGGCGGGCGGCGCCAAAAGTTCCGGTGGTTCGATATTGGCGTGATGTGGCTACGCTCAGTCTGGTTTCCAGTCTGTAAAATGATGACCAAGGACGTGGGGCGTCATGGCCGTGCTAACGTTTGGCCAGCAATTGTTTGAAACCATGACGAATGACAGGCACAACATCCCAATCATCGGTCATCCATAATGTAATGAGTTTCTGAGATTGTGTAGATTAGATCGACTTAACGCTCTAAATGTCGTTTTGACGCTTTCACATCAGCAAAGATGACACATAGGCCCGTGACACGACCGGCCGGTAACCAACCACGGAAACTTAAAACCCAAAGCCCAAATCCACACCCCAGACTGTTGCCTGGGTGGTACAGTGGGTTGTTGTCACCAGTTGAAGTGACAAAGCGTTTACAGGTGACAACGTAGCGTGACAATTTGCAAGTCGTGCGTGTTTTTGCAGTAAAGTATTTTTGAGCACACCTTTCCAGGAGTGCTTTCTGTCCGATTCCTAACAGCAACAAAAAGCTGCGCACGCTCGCGCTTACCATTAAGCAAACGGGCAGCCGGGTAAACAGCCGCAGCAAAAAGCGCCACCTGCCGCCAATCATAGCATCCGGCGCTCCGTTGAACGGCTCCTTGTGCGCCGTGGGTGCGTGCGGGCCTGGCAAGGTCAGTGACCCGACCGAACGAGGTCAGTGACCCCGGCCGGCCGCGGCGCGTCCCCAGCGGCGGAGGGACGGCGGCCGCGACCGGCCGACAGCCGGCTGGTGCTGCGGCCGCACTCGGGCCGCCTCGGCACGCAGGGGAGGGAGGGCGGGGGCAGCAGGTGCAGCCGGTGCAGTTGGCTGCCCGCCGCATATGGCGATCGGCACAAAGACGCGGCCCGCCCGGCGGCGGAGAAAAGCTGGCGGCGCCCCAGGGCAGTGACGTCAGCGCGGTCCCCCAAATATTGCCGATAGCGCGGCGCGCTGCGCAGCTGGAAATGGTCGGCCGGCGCTCTTGCGCGTCCCTCTCTCCTGCAGGAACGCCGGCCAAATGACAAGCTAAAAGATAGTGATCGCTTCTCCGAGGGGCCCGCGATTTCTACAGAAGAAGTAAGCGGTAGTTTTGCTGTAGTACATCGACCACTGCTAGCTGTTATGAACCCGGTTAATGGTGGCATCGAAAATATGACATCCGATGTGACCTGCATATCCGGAGAAAATGTGAAACGATATCCGCCATGATCTGTTATTTCGTAACAAAATATGTTGAGATATACACAGGCCGGCTAAGCTATATTCGGTCAGTTTGTTTTCGTGGAGCCATTTCCGCCCTTGCCGTCAGCAAACATGTGACGTCGTGGCGGGTGGAGGGCAGCACCGAGCGATTGAAGCATGACACTTCGGAGCTGAGCGCTTCGGAATGGCACCAAAGGTCTAGACCAGACCTTCTCTCTCTCTCTCTCTCTCTCTCTCTCTCTCTCTCTCTCTCTCCTCTCTCTCTCTCTCTCTCTCTCTCTCTCTCTCTCTCTCTCTCTCTCTCTCTCTCTCTCTCTCTCTCTCTCTGTCTTCCTCTTTCTCTACGAGGAACCGCCATGTTCCTGACTTCCATGGAACAACAAGGGCCCTGAAGGCAAGCATGATGGCTTCATTTCCGAAAGGAGTATGGGTTTGACATACTTCCCCACTACCCTAATCTAGTGTGACACATATTACATATCTGTTGGCTTGACCATATTGTGAACGAGGCTAGGCTGCAGGGCGAACTTGCTTTTTGGAGCAAATTTATACACAAGGCTTGCGGATTTTCGATGGCATGTGTAATCCCAAACGTTATATGCACATCCCTCAAAATGTAGAGCCCGCACGAGCTGCGGCGGGACCTACTTGAAATACTGCCTGCACCTAGTTGTTCCCCACCGGCCCCATTAGTCATGCACCGGCCGTCTCGCACGTTGCTGTCTGTCTTTTATCACGACTACCACAGAGTGGAGAGCAGGTATCAGACGTACCTAGGACTGCCAATAGCACCGGCCTCCTTTCAGCCATGCTTAAAAACCATATCTTCACTTCGCCGCATTTGTATCACAAAGCGCAGCGAAGCTGTTAATTGTTCACGCTGCGCGGCGCGAAACTAAACGTAATCAGCCAAACCACACCACATAAACATCATATGCCTGCCTTTCTGTTCCACAATAATACGTATTCATTAGCTATTCGCTCTTTCTGGCACACAATGGGGCGTAATGGTCAGCTGTCTGTTGCCAGGTACGAGTTGGCAAATCACAGTCACGCGTTGTTGGCTATGGGGAGGAGCTGCACGTCAGGCTCCGGTTAGGCTGCTCGGCACCTTCCTAGTCACGGATCCCGCCGCCGCCGCCGCCGCCGCCTCCGCCTCGTCACCTGACGGGTGGTTAATTCTGTACCAGCCATGGCTCAGCGTCGGCGACACGCTACCCGGTCGCCGGTCAATGAAGAGCGGTGGTTTGTGGCCGCCTGGGGACAGTCGGCGGCTCGTGACCCTGGAGACGGCCGACAGAGGCCGTTGACCCCGCCGGGTTCGGCCGCACCGACTCGCGCCGAGGTGATGCCGACCACGCGCTATCGCTGGCGACTCGCGAGCTGCTCGGACACGTTCAGCTTGCAGCTCATCGTGATAAATTGGGTGCCTAAGAACACGATCCATTAACGTGATTAATGACCAAAAAAACGACTACGCCGGGGAGCGAGGATGTCGAAAACCGCTTCATCGTTAAAGCGGTCTGCCGTGTTTTCTGCAGCGGACGTCCGCGCAGGAAACTATTCGCAGGTGGACGCGACACGCTGGCTGCTGCCGCCCGGCTGGCTGCTAGGACAGCTACGCGCCGCTCCCTGGCGCTGCTGCCGGGCCCCGCCGGGCCGGGGTCGCTGGCTGCTGTCGCCCGGTTGGCTGCTAGAGCAGCTCCGCGCCGTTCCCTAGCGCTGCCGCCGGGCCCCGCCGGGCCGGGGTCGTGGTTGGAGCGACAGTCGTCGGATGCCAGCGGCGGACGGCTGACGCGACCGACTTGTTGCTCCGAGTGGAGCCGCGCCCGGCCTGCTTGGCTCGACCGCGCGTCACTCAGACCGCGCCCGAAATCGATCGGAGCGGGTCGGCCGATGTGCGTTGGCCGACCCCGACCGGCCGCCAGGGGACGGGCAGGCCTTCGGCAGCGGCTGTCCGCCGACCTCGACCAGCCGCCAGGGGACGAGTGGGCCGTCGGCAGCGGCTGTCCGCCGACCTCGACCAGCCGCCAGGGGACGAGTGGGCCGTCGGCAGCGGCTGTCCGCCGACCTCGACCAGCCGCCAGGGGACGGGTGGGCCGTCGGCAGCGACTGACCCGCCGACCCCGACCGGCCGCCAGGGGACGGGCAGGCCGTCGGCAGCGACTGACCCGCCGACCCCGACCGGCCGCCAGGGGACGGGCAGGCCGTCGGCAGCGACTGACCCGCCGACCCCGACCGGCCGCCAGGGGACGGGCGGGCCGTCGGCAGCGACTGACCCGCCGACCCCGACCGGCCGCCAGGGGACGGGCAGGCCGTCGGCAGCGACTGACCCGCCGACCCCGATCGGCCGCCAGGGGACGGGCAGGCCGTCGGCAGCGGCTGGCCCGCCGTCAGGAGAGGCCCTGGTTTTCGGTGGTCGACGTCAGGGCCCCGCTCCAGGGGTCGCCGGAGGTCCGACACCAATGATGTGGACCGTCTGAAGCGAGCAGTCCGGAGCAATGCAGTGCCTCAAAGTTACGTGTCGGGCCACCTCCAGGGGCCCGCTAGGAGTCCGTGTCAGGGAAACACCAGTGCCCGACAGCTGTGAGTCAGAGTCGGTCGTTGGTGGCGAGTTTGGTCCAACCCGTTGACCGGGAGCCTGGCTCATCGGTACGCATACAGGGCCGGCAACGATCCTGGTGAGCGGCCGGACAGAACCGACTCCGATCCTAGTGAGCGGCCGGACAGAGCCGACTCCGATCCTAGTGAGCGGCCGGACAGAACCGGCTCCGATCCTAGTGAGCGGCCGGACAGAACCGGCTCCGATCCTAGTGAGCGGCCGGACAGAGCCGGCTCCGATCCTAGTGAGCGGTGGGACAGAAAGGCCTCTGTCTGGGTTTCTTCTGGGTCTGGGCCGGTGCAACCTTGCGAGGGCCAGCTGGTGAAAGTGAGTGACATCCGGACAGCCCGACATGTCTTGGACATCGACGCCGAGCCCTACAGCAGCCTCTGGCAAGGAGCTGTTCCTAAGCGAATTCATCGCAACGAATCGCAAATAAGCCGCGGTCTTCACGCGCAGTGTCCGGACGAGCCGCTCCTCAGGTGTGACCTTCACACCCAGCATTCAATCTTATGGACAAAACTAGGCGTGGCAGTGATGGAGGCATGCACTTGATGGCCTCCTGTGGAACCTGCCTTTGCATCACCAACCGAAATTGGATTTATATCGACCAAACTGACAACAGCTCCGCGGCTTGAGGAGCCAACAATCATCGGAAGCAGAGGGAAATTTCTTCACAAAACAGTGGTTAACGGTTGACGTGCCTCAGAGCATATATCACTTCGCACGTACCTTGCATTCAAAATCGAAGCGGCGGTCAGACCACCCGATTGTAGGAGACTGGCCGGCCAGACGGCGTCATCGATAGGACCGATTTGTGGCCTGCTAATGACGCTGAGTTGGACGAATCAGAAAAAGCTAAGTAATAAGTTTGTCGAATATCGACCTGTCCATATGCACATCCGCACATCTCGGCGCAATGATCGCTTTCTAAAGGTACTAATGGCACTGTTTCGCCCCATCTCTTTATATGCCGATGACGATCAAACCTAGTTCCGTTTGGTGACGTCATCACAATGGAAGTCCACTGTCCGCCATGATTGCCACGGAGGTGCCCACATGTACCCGTCATCATGTCTGGGGTCGTTGACTCGTGCATGCCACCGCTGCATCAGTACACTGGTCTGCGCATCGTCAGTCAGTTCATGCACCAAACTGCATGTCACCGCTCCGTTGTCCCTCCGAAATGTCAGCAATCATGGCGATGCGCCGCTGCCATGTCCGGCGTACCGGGGCTGGGTCACTGACCTGGACATTGTCCTCGCTGATCTGCAGTTCGCCTGTGTATGCGAAGTCTACCAGCAGCTGGATGGCGTGCGGATCGATGTCATGCAGGGTGATTTGACACTGTCGCTTTTCGGCCAAGTCACCTATGGGTCAAAGAAGGTCGTTGTCAGGGCGAGGTAATGCAACACCGTAATGGCCTGAGCGCAGTGTAGTCTCACCAGCGTGGTCCAGAATAAATAAAACCCTATTGCCGTTGCAGCCAGATAAAAGCAGATAAAGACAAAAAGGAAACGTATGCTATCTATGTGTTCAGAGCGCCCTATTGTCTCGATTAATGGTCCGTTAATGACCATTACGACTATGCTCATTAATATGCTAATGCTGCGATTCGTTAATGCTCCGTAATTTCTTCATTTATACTACGCGCTTCGAACTGCTCGCAACAAACTAAATCACAAATGCCTCAGAACAATCAAGCATACACACCTAGATATATTTCAAGGTCAAACTCCTAATACCTACGCAATGCGTACTAGTTATAAGCAAGACCCATTAATACAGACAACACAAAACACTGCCCGTTAGCATCGCTTATCCAGAATGCCGACTGCAACGAACACATGACAGCACAGTATCCGCGAAGGCGTCTGCCGGACCGTCCTGCGTTCTATACACGTCTGTTTCTTTTTATTTTTGTTTTTTGCGAACGGACGCGACGTGCGCGCCGGGTCCGCCGCCTGCATTAGACGGTCCATCCGCCGACGGCCGACACCAGATGGCAGACCGGAGGCGGTCGACTCCTTTGTGCCCCGCCCGGCGCCTCCAGTGCGTCGATGATGCGGCTCGCGGCGTCAGCTGAACCCCACGTGCGCCGCCGACCGCTGGCCGCCGCCCAACTGCGACGGAGGCCGGCTCGGCGGGCGCACGGCGACGGAGGCCGGCCGGCCAGCGGAGCCGGATCGATCCGCAGCGAGGTAGGCGGCCAGTCGCCTCATGACCGCATGCCCCCCCCCCCCCCCCCCCCCCCTCTCTCGCCGAGAGCCGCCTGCCAATCCCGGCTGCCGGCCGCCTCTGGAAGAGAGACGGCCTTGGGGGCCGGGGCCGGGGCCGGGGCCGGCCGCTTCCGGTGCGAGCGGCGCGGCACGGCGCGACGCACCCCCGTGATGGCCGCCGGACGGGGCAGGCCGAGCGAGGCCACAACAGAGGCCACCGCGGCGAGAGCGGGACCGGCGGGATGTAGCGACGCCGTCACCGACCAGCGGCGGCCCGGCGTCGGCCGCCGTGCCCGGCCATCCGTCAGCGATCGCCGGCTTGCATCCGCTGCCGGCCTTCCGCCCGACCCCGCAGCGCCGAGGTTGAGAGACTGAGTATGACAGAGCACTTAGTCGAGGCGTGGCGAGCACGCGCGCCTCGCAGACCCTCCGGGAGACAGAGAACGTCTCGCGGCTGCTCCGCGATGCATTGGGGTCTTGCGGTGCAGTCTATATCAGCAGGACGGTTTCGTGACCCTCGCGCGGCTGGAATGCGACGGCGACTTGGCGGCACGCTTGAACCTGCGTTTTACCAGCCGGAGGCGCCTCACATCGGGTCACGCCGCGCCGGTATCCCTGGAGTTAAGACATCAAGTGTTGCTTCGCTGCCCCACCCAGCATCACGCCAAAGGATACACAGACTGGAGCCAGGCCATTCATTGACCCCGGTCGCTGACCAAGCCCCAGTGAACTCGGGCACAACCCGATCGATGCTCCCAGCGGTCCACCTAGTGACGTTGCCGTTTCGGGTAGGTCCCGTCTCGCCGTGCGCCGGGATCAGCTCCGAGTGCGCTGGGATCGGCTCCGAGTGCGCTGCAGCGGCTCCGTTCGCCAGGCCCGTCACCGGGCGGCCGGGCGACCGACGGTCAGTCGGCCGGCGGCGGGCCGGCTCCGGCTGCTGGCGGCCGGCTCAACCACGCATCACTGGCTTTCCCAGCTTTCGGTGCCAGTTGGGGCTCGGCGGCGCCGGATTGGCCTGAGCCGGCTCCCGCTGCCGGCGGGAGGTATTGAGCCGCCTCCGCCCCCTATTCAGTGTTTTTGCCGGGCGCCGACGTTGCGTCGTACCGGCCGCGCGTCTGGCGCAGATTCAACAGCCGCCGGCGAGCCGCGATGTCTTTGTCCGGCGACTCTTACTCATTACGGCCACCCGCCGGCCGTCGGCCGCATGCCAATTCAAAGGCAGTGTTTTAGCAGCGGGTGAAATGTCTGGATTACGGAGGTTCTAAACAGCGTTAGATGCGTGCCGCTGTAGTGTAATTGACACCTGTCTTTGCCTTGAGGAGCTTTGCGTCGATCGTGTAATTCCCAAAACCTTCCCTGAATACATTTGGTCCAATTTGGCACAACGGGACGCTTCCAAAGTGAGTCGTGCTAAGGCGCGTAAACACTCGGAGGAATCCATTGAGCTCACACGAGTCTGATAAGGCTTGGCCTTTACGCTTGTGTGCGCCGGGACTTACTGGTAAACATGGCGCTGAAGTAGGGGCTGCACGCTGCCAGCACTATGCGGTGGGCATTTATCTTCAGTTCGCCGACCACAAACTCCACATCGCAGAGCTGAAACATAAATCATGGCTCTAAACCGGTATCTAACAGTCTTCAAACTACATACACGGTAACTTTGGCGTATATAATCCACTGATTCTCAGAGCTCCTGCTCACTTCATCTTCACAAGTGAACCAGGGGGTCAAAGCAACGTATTCGTTTTCTAAATTATCTCCCAGCTAGCAGAATTCACATTTTTGCTTATACGGAAGGGTACGGAAGGGAAAGAAAAAAAACTTTTTATATCCCAACTAGGTATGCAGATAAAATGGCCTGAAAGCTGGTACATTCATCGTCACATTTCGCCGGTCAGTGATCTGTCACGGTATTGTTTTCACGTACAAGTTGCAAAACAGGACAATATACTCACAGCTGAAAAAGAAGCGACCCTAAAAAAGGCTGCCAGAGACGGCTTTTGAAAGCAAAACTAGCATTTAAAACTTATCTGGACATTTTGACAACCTGCGACAGAGGCCGCCCTCATACTCATAGTTAAACAGTAGCTGGCCCTTCTAACAGCACGAAGCCACCGGAAAACTGCACATCTCAAGAGGCTGACAAAAGTCAGGCGAGCCTCCCGAGAAAAGGTTGCTGGGATCGGACCGGTGAAGTCCTGCCGCTTCCCCTGGGCTGACCTGGGCGTTCGAGCGCATCTTGTGCATAGACTGCAGCAGCGTCTTGGAGTGGTCGGAGGCCGAGAAGAAACTGGTCTCCTGCGGCGTGGAAGGTGAGCTGGGGCTCGGCTGGGAGGGCCACGACACGCTCATGATGACTTCGTGCTGATGATTTGCTTAGTGTGGCGGGTTCTAATCTGTCGAGAAAGAAAAAAAGGGAACATCATAAACGAGGAAGGACTGTGCCCAATAAGGAGAGACAGAATCATATCCTAAACAAAAGTAGATTGTCTAACGTGTCATGTAAGTGCGATCGCTGGGCTTAGCCAGATTTGGTTAGATTAGAGCTCTTTTGGAGATTATTAACCCTTCCAGAGCTATACATTGCGGAGAGAGGCAACGATTGGGTAATATTGCAACCGTCCTGAATTACCACAGACACCGAGGCTTACACCGCACAAGGTGCTGAAATCGGGATTGTACCAGTGCTCGTACGAAGCTCCCCACCAGGAAAGCCGCGAGGCCAGTTCATTGCTATCGGCCTCATGTCATTTCCGCTGAGCAGCTGCCGCTTGCAGTGGTGACAGGCCAAAATGAAGAGAGGCCAATGAAAGCTGGCCGATGTGATGCATTCAGCATCTTTCCCTTTCTTGTATTAATGGTCGATCTCCCGCCAACAAATGAAATGAGATGAGATGACAATCGACTGTGCTAAAAGATTATCATTTTGTACCACTTAATCTTTGCTTGCACTTTTCCCCCTTCGGACATGTCTTCACCAAGGGGCGCATCATCAGCAATCAAGTTGATGATAGCATATTTTCACAGATGCAACATCAAGAGTTGACTTCGAGATGTTGTTCGATTTGATTAAGGCTCGTTCTAATAGTAGTCGCCAACATCAGTGAGAAGAAAATTATACTGTCAAGTCTACATTAAAAGAGTTGCAGACGAGAACAAAAAGGTGTCCATAAATTACAGCAGATCTCAACCTGACTATTCTTTTAATGTCATGATTCCACAAACTGCGGCATGCCATACCGTAACGGCAGATAAAAGATCGGGCAGAATATATTATTGAAAGCCTTTCTCTTGACTTAGGTCACTCTATTGCCCAAAGAGTAACTTTTTGCATCTTATTATCGTCTTACTTCGCCTTATCTATTCTCATCTTATTCTCGTACCATTGCGTCTTATTTTACGTTTTTTTTGTATTAACATTATAAATGCTAACTTAAGCTAGTAACATAAGGAAAGCCCAAAGAGAACAGCACGTGTTGGTGGCATTATTTTCAAAGATCTCACACAATTGCAGTCGGTAGTTAGGTGGCGCTTGCCCTGGTCGTAGTCTAAGTACGTATCAATATCGGGAATGTTTTTGTCGGGCATATATCCCAATCATCTTAGACATAAGTGCAATAGCGAAAAAGCGTTTGTTTGCACAAGGATATAAAGGAGCTATCAAAGTAACTAGAATGACTTGGAAACTGATGGTAATGCTGCATCGGCAGCTTCTGCTTCCCGAGGTTGCTTGTAAAGGCAGTGGTGGCATATAGACATAAGCTGTTATGCATTTTTCCACGGGTTATTCCCTGGAGTGAGAAGAAAAACTGGCTCCGATAGCAGTAAGTAGACATGATGAGACAGTACAGCTAAATGTTCTGTATCGGGTAGATGCCTAATCAATCATTTTTACACCAGATCATTAATCCCCCATACCAAAGTATTGTGTAAGATGTCTAGCTGATGGATGCATTCGGATATGTGTCTCATTAAGGTCACCGATAAAAAATTGACCTGGGACAAAGCCATCACGTACACAGCTAGTGCAGCCAACTCGTGGTTATGCTATGGATATTCGATATGACATCTACGCATCGTGGTATTTGTTGCAATTTGCTCAATCGATAGCGATAAACCAGTGTCGGCGTCGAGAAAATATTGTGGGAAGGGACTGAAACATACGGCAGTCTCCAACAACCAGGTCAGCCGAGGGAGCTTTGCTGGTTTGCAATCTCAAATGATGTGAGGATACAATTTTTTAAAAAATATTCTGACGAATGCGTTTTTGCGTTCATACAAAACATTGTGACATAAAGGTCTATAAATCTTTGGTCTCTATAGATACTGGCAAATGACATTATACCAATAACAATTGTTCTTGAATCATATTAATTTTGCGGGTAAACAGACGGATCCTTTCAGGGAATTAAGGTAATGAATACAAAAATCAAATTTCCTTGAGACATTTTACTTAAAAGTAATACGTAGGCGTTTTCCAAACTTCCTAACTGACAAGGCTCTCCTAGATAGCCTGGGTAAACACGGTTGCACTGATTGGGGATGTACCTTGGCAGTTTGTCATCCAAGACCTATTGGCGAATTACATTTTGTACTACTTTTTCGAGCGACCTACATCTATCTAAATCGTTTTTCCCGTGAAAGCTCTGGATCGGTTTTTTATGACTGACGCCACAATAATAACTACGATTGCACTCTGACTTGCTATAAGTCTCTTCGGAAAGAGTTGTATGTATTTTCACCTGAAAATTATCAAACGCAACTCTACTGTTACGTGAACAAAATCAACAAAATGGGATAACTTCACATCTTACATTTCAGAAAGTTCACCCGTCGTCTGAAAAGAGCTTAGACGTGGAGGCACCTGAAATCGACGACTCGGAAAAGAAGAAAACACCTTCCCCATCAAATTCAAAACATGGAGATGGCAATGCACTTCTTTCAGTTCCGAGTGGAGGGATGCCCCTCGGCTCAGGAGTCAATGCGTCTCAACATGCCGGATTCGACGCGGGGGAGAGTCCTGCGAAAGTTATACAGCGTGCCTCACTGTTCTTTGTGCAGCCCCAGCCAGAAGACGCAGCCCAGTTAGCCAATACGAGCAAGGAGGCCACAGAAGCATTCCTGGACCTCCTGCACCCATCTCTCGAACCAGAACATGGCACGCTCCAGTACATACGCTGGACGATAAAAAAGGTGGTTGATAACATCTTCTTTCGTCTGTTGTTCGCCATGCTGATCATCGCAGACATAGCTCTGATGATCATTGATTTGGGAACACGAGATATGGACCAACATTTGTATTATATCGTGTGCTCTTTTACGTTTTCGTGGTTTTTTGTAATCGAAATTTGCCTCCGAGTTGTTGCTTTCAGCTTGCGTGCAATGTTTCATTTTTGGTACAACATTGTAGATGTCTTCATCATCATTGCTTCAACAATCGGTACATCCTATCTATTTGTGGACAGGATTGTTAGCGGGCAGTACTACATTGCGGAAAGGCATCGATCACCTTTCTGGTATTTCATATTTTCTCTAAGATTCTGTCGAATGGCTCATTTCTTTCGACTATACCAAGAAACCGAGAACATCAAGCGTGCTGCAAGACAACTTGTTTCGCAAAATAAGCGCCGGTATCACGACGACGGATTCGACCTTGACTTGACTTATGTCACAGAACGGGTCATTGCCATGAGCTTTCCTTCTTCGGGACACATGACCTTCTACCGAAATCCCATCACAGAGGTTGCTCGTTTCTTTGAGACCAAACATGGAGGACACTACAAGATATATAATCTCTGTAAGGAAAGAGGCTACGATGACAAGATTTTCGATGGCCAAGTGGAGCGATTTTTTATAGAAGACCACAACCCACCGACCTGCAAAGACATGCTTAAATTTGCAGCCATGTCATCCGAATGGCTGGAAAAGGATGAGAAAAACGTGATAGCCGTGCATTGCAAAGGCGGCAAAGGGAGAACGGGCACCATGATCTGCGTATATCTGGTTGATAACGGGCTGTTTTCGACCGCTGAAGACAGCCTTTCATACTTCGGGTACCGTCGCACGGACCTGAGCCAAGGAGACAGCTTCCAGGGCGTGGAAACCCCGAGTCAGTGCCGATATGTCGGATACTACGAGGCCATTCGCAACCACAAACACAGGCTACCGACCGAGGTGGAGCTAACGCTGAGGAGCATTCGAATCTGGGGCATGGCGACTGTGGGCAAGGGTGACGGCTCTGACATCACCCTGGTGATCGAGTCGCCGGAAGAGGGAAAGGTCTACGAGAACCACTTCGGAAAGGGCTCCTTGCGTCTCTACGATAAGGAAGATGACGAATTGTTCGTAACCTTCCAGTCAGTGCCAGCCTTTAAAGGTGACATCCGGTTTAAGTTCAAGTGCAGTTCACGACGAGTGCCCCGAGGCTATGAAAAAACGGCCTGGTTCTTTTGGTTTCACACTGGGTTTATCCAACACAATCGCCTTAAGCTGGAGAGGTCCGACTTGGACAACCCACACAAGAGCAAAACTTGGGAAGTGTTCAGGGAAAGTTTTGGTCTCGAGTGCATCTTCCAAAAGACGAAGACTGGGAAGATAGGCCGGCAGGGAAAGCTGAACAGATTCTCTCGGTTCCTCGTCAACAAAGGGAAGTGACCATATTCGAATGCCTGTGCCCATTATGTCACCTTGTTGTGTTGAATATATACGTCGCATGATCAGCGCATACCAGTACTCTGCAAAAAGTGAAGCAGCCACAAATGCATGTGTGCAACCCAAAAAAACCCAGACACTGGACATCGCTTTAAGGCCCAGAGGCAATGGAAAGTTTTGGCTCGACAGCCCGGCCGGACGGAAGGCGTGACTCGCCGTGCGCTACCCCCACGCATCTTGCCGCTAACTGAGACGCAGGAGCTGATTAACGGAATCTTTGCGACAAGAGTTAGCAATGAGGGAGCGTGTTTACTCATCGAATGCATTGGGCCCACAGGCATATGTTTTGTAGTTAGACACCTAGAAGGTCGAAGTATCCTTTTCTGACTCATGGGGTCTTCTACGGACGTTGCTGCATATAACTAGAAAAATTATTTGCAGCGCTTGTTTTACAATGAGCCCCATACTAAGTGAGAACTAGAGCTATTTGTGGACTGGCTAAATCCGTAGATTTATTAACACGCGCTCGGGCAGGGGTCAAATTGACCCTCCCAACGGTTTTTCCGGAATGGTTTCGGAGCGGCGTGGCGTAACCACGCCCAATTTTGCATAACTTTATACAATTAAATGGCAGGTCGTCTGGTATCAAAAATGTATATGTACCACGTAAGGTCGTTGACCGATGGCAGGTCAGTCAGGCCATGGTTTCAGCGAAGGCACTTTCTAAGGAATCGTTCGATCTGATCCAACAACGGAGTGTTAGACGAAGCCATACATCTGTGAGGTTCTTTCTTAGGCAACAGCAACTGAATGAACAAATTACGTTGACCTAGGGTCAGGTATGAAGGCCAAAACCAACTTGTCTTATTACTCTCGGACTTGCTGTATGATGCTGCTTCTGGCGCCCATTTCGAATTTATTGATAGCAGGAACCGCATTATACATCTTCCATGGACTTCTTAACGGTCGGAACAGGTCACTGACCTAAAATGATCCAGGTCAATATTTTGTTTTTAGGAACATACTGCAACTCAAAGCATTCTTGTGTGATTTTAACGTCGTCATGACCTTAAAAAGGTAAACAAGGTCACTGACATTAGATGAGAATATGACCTTTTACTAGAAACAGTTCTCCGGATAGAAACAAGATCTCCGGAGGTAAAATTGACCCCCATCCGAGCGAAAGGTATCCAACCGGCCACCTAGACGCGTGTTAATAATCCATGCATTGCGTTGTGCCTAATTAGGAAAACACTAAACACCACAGATTAGGATTGTATTCAAACTTTACTAGATCTCACTGATTGGAACCCAATGAAACAATGGAACTTGAATTTAATATCTGGTGAGTATGATAGCATATTCATAAAAGTCACTCAACTGCAATGTGTGCGAAGATAACCAAATTAGTATCACTATAAACCTGCTCACAATAATTAGAGTATGCGGAGTTTACTCAGCCATGATACATGCTACGTCTTATATTGAACTAGGCTGAAATGCGATGGATTTGTGTGGATTATGTGAGGAATATTTGATGATGTGAGTGGTCCCAGATCGGATGTACAACGCCAAAACACACATGAAATGGTGTGTTCATTGGAGTTAAAATTGGCGGAGTAAGCTGAACTTTTCTCGAATGCGTACACACTAAGACGCCTTACCATAATAAATGATACATAACACATTCAATTATATAAAGCGTAATGCCGTGGTTCACTAATTATGACGGCAATTTAGGACACATTTCGGCGCCATTGCAGGATGAACGAACACGTAACTTACACCGTTACCGACCTCCGGCATTCAATGTGGATGGAGAGCTGCGTTTTTGAGCCACAATGTGCGCATTGCTTTCATTGAAATGAAATTGTGAGACTGCTTTAGTAGGACCAATGTTTCCAACGGTTAGAATGAACTAATAAGGTCTCTTAGATGGCTGCAGCCAGGGGTTCTGATACGGTATCCTGCTCCTATTACATCGACTTTATTATAACTATTCCTATAACAGGTTATTTATACTGCCCCAGCTAGCTTACATCATTACTTCATATATCCGTATTTCATCATCATTACATCAACTAATGGCATAACACGTTGGCTTAAGGAGATTCTCATCGGAGCTTTACACACGTGCGAGGAAAGACTGGACTGGAGAAATAATGCACTTCCGCAAAACAAAAATCCATCTGAAAGGTCAACGGGCTAATCAACGGGGCTAATCTGGGGCGTCGGCATTCTAATTGCCTTCAGAACAGCTCATTTTCACGCCTCATGGTTGATGGCCGCCTGACTGCTTTTATATAACTCTGCCCTTTTTTCATCCCATCGGGACTAACTAAAACTGGGTGGTCAGGACATACTGCATTACTGACACTCATCGGAACGCACTCGCTTAGACATACCGGTCTGGTGTAACATTAAAGAACGTTGGGTGCAGCCGATAAGTGTCACGTTATTATATTTTGGGGGGGAGGGGGGGAGAAAGCTGGTAGAAATGATAAAACAGTTGCTTTTTTGCCGACACGTGCAAGAGCATATGCATTCTCAACAAGTGTAAGCATTGTAAACGTCATGCCTTGGACGTCCTTCCTCCGGGAGAGTGGCCGCGGCATAGTAGCGAAGCACGTAACAAATTATGGAACAGTTGGGAAGTATCCATGGATGGGAACATTAAGGGCTTGTCTCCCGGCCATCAGCATATAACATCTTGAGGGATGTGCATGCCAGGGACATTCTCAGTACACTGGGAATGCTTAAAGGCGGCAAACATGACCGATGAACTCAGACGTCAGCTGTCAGAACTTCTGAGAGCAGCGTGGGTATATCTAAGCGCGCCTCGGAAAAACGATTTGGCGCACCAAAGTCACACGTGAAGAGAAGAATGGGGTGATGTAACGAATAATTGTCAAGACACCTGAGGTCACGTAACTGCAGGCAAACCACCAGAGAGCCCGAAATTTACTCGAGAGCCAATATCAAGTGCTCAATTGGTAGGAACCGGATCACTGAGGATGAATTCTACTGCATGCACACCGGTGCCCGGCTGATCATGTGCGACAAATGTCAAATCAAATGCTCAGCTGTGTGGAACGTTAAACTCATGCCGAAGGCACCGTTGCCTTTCAAGCCAGATCTGAGCGGCAAGCAGGTGCCCTCACAAACTGCTGATATAGCTGGCCATAACCCCGGGCGGGATCAATTCTTGACCAGTGGTCATGTTCAGCAAGAAAGTGCTGACGGTGCAACGTAGCGACGCGCTGGGAGGCAACTCTGCTGCCATTTCTGACAGATCGCAACCCAGACGGTCAGTTCCTGTTGAAGCTGAGTCTTGTGAGCACTCGGCACGGGCTTGAGACCCCGGGGCTGTTGCAAGAGGCAAGTTGACATGGGTACCACAATACATGAAACCTCTCTGTACCCACAGCTCTGTCCTATGCATGACACACGGGCATTGATCAGCAAAGTAGGTTAACAGGGGGCAAGCGCGTTCGGACACTCCAGCTCCAGAAGAGGGACAGTAAAGTTATTTGAAAATCAACCCGGAGGTGTCACGAAAATGACGGCGGAACGGTCTGCGTGCGTGTGCCTTCCTGACGAATGCAGGGTCGAAGCACCGTACAGCTAAACGCATCAGTGTTCGATATATGTGATTTTGGTTTTGTGGCTGGTTTTCATGGCACAAAATCATTGACTGATGTAGGTAATTCAGGCTTTGCTTAAACACAATGATCATACATTATACAAGCTTTTTAAATTGCATTGCGGCTTACAAATAATCAAATTACCACCAAACGAAGGAGGAGAATAGAAAAGGACTAATAGAACAGATTCCCTGCATCAACTTCAAATTATGTATGCAATCGTTCCATTTATTTGAAATCATGTTTAAAGGACATGAAATTAATTACTAACTGTTGTTGCGTTGCGCAAAAGTGGATATATGCCGTTTTTCAACCAGTCACGTGAAATTCATATGGGCTTAGCGCACAACATAGAAACCGTCAAACCATCGTGAGCGAAAAACGAAAACATTGGGGAAGACATATTACGGAGTGCAGATAAAATAGCGGCGCTCCCTTATCAAAACAAATAGAAAGATGTCATGAAAAATGAGCAAACTGCATACCGCGACCTTTTCAGTTTTTTTTTTAGACGGCACAGCGTTATCACCTAGCCCTAAATGTGCTTGTATTCGTGTTTCCAAACAGCGAAAACGCGCCGGCCTATCACGATATCGCCGACGAGCATCAGACCACGAAAACGAAACAAACGATCCAACTATCTGACGTCGGTGCAGGGACGGGAGTCTTTTTGTTTCCGAGCAAAAACCGCTCGCCACGCGCCGTCTACCGCCGTTGGGCTGCCACGCGCGGCTGGGGCGGGCGACGGCCGGGTGGGCCGGACGTAGACGGCCACACACACACATGAGCCGAGGTACGGCGGCGCCGGGCCGCCAGCGGCACACCTGTGTCGCCCCTGCTCCAGTGTCCGCCTGCTGTCTGCTATCGACCAGAGGAGCAGACCACGTGTGGCCTCATGGGCCGGTCTGACGTGCCCTGCAGCGCAGCCGCCACCGAAGCCTGCCGCGCTACGATTGCAAGCAGCGACAAAACGGCCTGAGAGCGAGCACTCTCTCTCTCTCTCCCTCACACACACACACACACACACACACACACACACACACACACACATCACACACACACACACGCATTCACACACACACACACACACACACACACACACACACACACACGGCGCGCGCGCACACACACACACACACACACACACACACACACACACACACACGCAAACGCACACGCCCACACACACGCGCGCAGACACACATACACACACACGCATACACACACGCACAACACCTTTTTATAAGGGTACAAACACATGAGTAATATATCAGCTAGATCATAGAATCCGCACTTAGCAGAACTTCGTCGACTGATTATGCGACCTCATTGCATAATTTTGACCCAAAATAAGACAGAGTCTATTGCCGACCCAGGTGTGCAGGCGATGAGTCACTCAGCTAACTCACGAGCCTCAGTCAAAGAACACTGTGGCCGCACGAATATTCCCTGATCAGGTCATATGCTGTCAGAGCACTGTTCATACAGCATACATTCAGAACCCCCACAACACAGAGAATAAGACAGGCGTAAGACAGATGAGTCGAGCAGATATTCAATGTCTTCAGTCTGGAAGTTCTGGAAGTCTTCCTTAAACGTGGTCACAAGTGAGAGAAACAGGTGCTAAAATCGAGGAAAGAGCGCTTGGATAACACGAAAGCCGGCGGTGAACGGTGTTCGGTATCCTTATCAAGGACATTACTCGGGATTGGCCACGAGAAGCTCGCCAACCCGATGCTCTACATTCATCATGCGAACTTAGGCACGATATGTACGAAGCGCAGGTAGGGACTACGAAATGCCGAATCACTGCAAATGCGACCGGAGAGCAGGGTCTCCTCACACCATGCGCTCCACCACACAATGTCGGACCAGTTACGAACTTACGGTCTTTACGCAATGGCGACGACACGACTCTTGGCATTCGTTTGGAGCGAGTGGAGGGCACAAGAGACATCTGGTTGGCCTCCGATACATGGCCTATAGATGCATGGGTCTCCCAATGCGCTTAATACGGGCATAGAGGTGTGCTCAGACGCGCATCAATCTTAACTGTTTCCTACGGTTACATTCATTTCGTCTTACATGCACATCATGCGGAATCTTGCAGTGTTATCTGGGGAGGTGCACCGAGGGTGTACTTGTACAGAGTTGAATGGGTGTAGCAGCGTTGAGTTATGTGGTTGGCATATCACTCGCGCTCATCCGCCACAGCGCAGCCTTCATACCATGCAGGTTTGCTTCGCACATTTCATGTGTCATCCTTGGAAAACAGACATCACCAACATGAAATTATTTTCGTCGTAAGATTTGTAAAAGTATAGTGAACTCAAAGCTGCCTATAGGTTGTTCGCCTCCGCACCCTGCAGCTACAGCAAGGTTAACAGAGCGAGCTCGGGGCATCATGACAAAGCCGTTTCCACAGAATGGCACGATCAAAAGGAGCATGTTTACAGTTCTGTAGAAAGATTGAGACAAGGTATTAGTACCACGGATGGAATAACTGTTTGGACTATCGTTCTCGTCTGGTATCTATGTATGTACACATGCTAACACATAGGGCATACCATCTTACCAGAAAGGGACGATTGTCCAAGCGACTATACCTCAGAGGCATGCTTGTTAGAATCCCGACATATACGAAAGAGTTCTACTGAAGTTGCCGGACGCCAATTTACCACATGGTTCCTGAGTGTTTTTATTTTTGTTTTTCGTATTACTTCAGAAACGTAAAACGCATGTTAAAGACCCAGAGCCACAAGTGTACGGTGTCCTGATCCGGTGTTGAAAATGTAAACAGATGATTTCACTTTCTGTGGCTGGCGATAACATGCGTTGCGGCAATATTGAGGCTGCGGAACTGTAATATATATCATTTAATCTTTCGACTTGGATTGCCAGTGGGAGTTGAGCATGCTGAAATTGATCCATTCGAAATAAACTCATTCTCTCAATCAACTCACTCAACTCATTCATTCGAAATTAACTCGCCGTCCCTAACAGCGGAAAGCCTCACGGATGGGGTCAACACACACACACACACACACACACACACACACACACACACACATATATATATATATATATATATATATATATATATATATATATATATATACGCAATAACGGAACGGGCAGAGGATTAGGTTGGGAGGCAATTCGCGAAAAATGACGAGTGGTTACCGGTACAGGAAGCGGCTTCAGAAAATGTCAGCAAGACACCAAAAAAGTCACAAAACGTCACCGGTTCTGCTCCTTCCAGTCATAGTTATCAACATTCATCTAAATAGCTGTAGCAATCAATGCAAAAACGACGAATCTAGCGGAAAAGTTTATTTTCTTCTATAAATCGAAACCGAAAGCTAAGATGATCTACAGCTTGGTTGCACAAATCAGAATTAAATGGAAAATGTACCGATTTGTTTGCAGGCACTAAAAGCAAAGCTCAGGCAACAGGAAAATTAAATGCACCCAACACGTTGGGCTTGCCGCCAGCTCAAGTAATGCGTTCCAACAGTGCCTCATGTTGATATAAAATCACAGCATCACGTGGGAATCCAGTGACCTCCACACAGACCAAACACGAGTCTGCCCTGCAGAGATTTGAGCCAAACTCCTACGCCATCGTGAGAGGAGTCTCCAACATACGGACCGGAGCCAAATGTGCTGCGTTGAACACCCCCGAGTCCAGATTACAGTGCAAAGTGGGGCTTCGCTACAATAACCCAGACAAAATCTCCCCCCACCACTCATCAATCCCTGAAATGACAAGCCGGAGCTTCTACACTGAGCTGCCTCCTACGTTAACCTGACCTCCGTACCAATTACCCCATCGCGCCGACCGAATCCAAGCCTACCCTGTACTCACCTGAGCCAGGTCATCCCTATACTGACCTGACCCGGGTCTCCCCCACAGCGACATGAGGCGGGTCTAACTTACACTGACCTGGGCAAGGTCATCCCTACACTGACCTGAGCCAGGTCATCCCTACACTGACCTGAGCCGAGCCTCTGCGACACTGACCTGGGCCAGGTCATTCCTATACTGACCTAAGCCGGGCCCACCCCATACTGACCTGACCCGGGTCTCCCCCACAGTGACCTGAGTCGGGTCTAACCCATACTAACCTGAGCCAGGTCCTCCCTACACTGACCTGAGCCGAGCCTCCGCAACACTGACCTGTGCCGGGCCTCACCTACACTGACCTAAGCCGGGTCACCCCCACACTGACCTGAGCCGGGTCCCCGCTCGCCTGGCCGCACGTCGTCACCTCCACGCTCCGCCCCGAGACACTGCCCGTGCCCGGCGCCGCCGGACGTCGCTCTGCGCCGCTGGCGGCCCCGGTGGCGGCTGCCGGGCCGGCGCACGCGCCCCGTCGCCGCCGGCTATTGGTCAATAGGCGGCTCACCGTTCAAACCAATGCACGGCCTAAACAAACGGCGGCTGAAAAGTGGGTCAGATCGCCGGCCGGTTCTGCAGCGGCCGGCGTCCGTCCCGCGAACTGTGGGCCGACACCAATGGGTGTGTTTGAGTGATTTGCCATTGTCAACCAGCCCTGACATTGACAAAAGCGGACCTTTTGTTCAGCAGATACTGAGTACGCCCATCTACGTGCATTTCAATCCCGCCAGAACAGTGCCGGAAGGACCAAATACAGAGTTAGATAGTTATCAAAGGGTTTGCCCTTCAGAGGTATAGCCTGAAGCCGGTGGTAGCAGCCGCGCTAAAGGTCAGGTCGCGTCAGGGCGCAGGACAGACCGTGACGAACATGGCGGTACGTTAAACGTTTGCCACCAAATTCTGCCGTTGACCTGGAATTTCACGATCGAATGGCAGGAGACCAGGGCTCAGCGCTAGCTCTGATCCCAGAAATCCATCCAATCAAAAGGTTCGGAATAAAATCTTGAAAGCACGATAATGCTAACTACTCTAGGAGCGGTGGCACAGGACTTAGTTTCGGAACCATCCGGCGATGACTTGCTTTCCGACGCTGTCGACTATCCGGCCGGCGCGATGGCCGCGAGATATGGCTGCTTACATGTACTGTCGCCGACAGCACATGCAGCTGCATGCAGCACGTGAGGTCAGACGCGTGACGTCAGCCGAAGGGCGCGGAAGCTGCTCGAGCGACGCAGCGCACACAGGAGCGTGTCGTACCATAACGAGCACGCTCGACGATCGCATGAGCTCGGTGAGCGGGCGTCACGTCTGTGGCACGTTCGCAGGCTGAACATGCCTTGTCCTGGCAAAACGTGTGCCTCATGCTCTGATTGTACCATGCAGACAGTGGGCACGCCTTTCACGATATGTCGTAACAGGCTTCAGGACCCTCCCCCCTGCTCTGGCAGCCGCGCGTTCACACCCGGAGCCACCCGAACTTGTCCTGGGAGCGACAAGACAGACGGGCCGCCGGTCCTCTCGTGCTGTTGGTCTGTCAACGTCTTACGGGGGCTGACGTTAACACGCAGGTCGTGACTTTTTGACCGGTTTTCCGCAGGTTTTGTGCTCGATTTTTGGAGCCAGCTGGGATGGTTTGCTGGAGTGAACAAACTGCAGCTGACGTCGTCGAAATGTACCGTGCAACAGCGCCAGCCATTTGGACTTGCTCGTATGTATTCAACCAATTCGCAGACCCTGTGTTGGCTTATCAGAAGCTCTTGCGCAGGAGGCTTGGACGTCAATTTGCAATATCTCTAAGACGAGGTCCATAAACAAAAACAAAAACGCAATTATTCTGCGCCAGCGATTCGGTCCTCGAAGACCTTTGCGGTAAATGGACGATAGCGTCTATCTAGAAACGTTAGCGCGGCATTACGTCTGTGGGAATCCAGAACGGCAACTGCGTGCTCTTCAGTGTTCTTTCCCCACTCAAGCAACACTTCTACGTCTTGCCATAGAGGACCAATTTGACTGGTTTGGTTTTGCAATGCTATGCCGCGCATCCGTTTCGCATCCTCTGATCTAGTCAGAAAGTTAACACTCAGAAACATGACTTTCTGGCCCCACACCAACCCATGCAATGCCAACACTGAGTCGCAGTTCTTTCGCGTCTCGAATCAATAACTGGACATCAATCGTCAAGCCCCACGTACTGTGCAACGTGCGAGCGCGCACATTAACCCCAATGACTTATAAGAGGACAGCTATTCAAATCCGTCAACGAGCTACGGCTCAGTGTTCCACACAAAATCCCAGCCACGTCACTATCCCTGGTCAAATACAAAATCCACAGATTTACCAACTTTATTGCGAGACTAGATACGGTCCACCCGACCCCCACCCCTTAACACGGCAACACCACGCCAGCGGCCACAGTGTAGTAACTCAGTGCCGAGCCCACGACTGCAGCGTGCCATTGTTCCCGGGTCCACACACCTGAAGGCACGTAACTGACGGCTGCACGTCACTGTTTGAGCTTGCGGACGCCGACCGGTGGCGCCACCTGCGCCAGCACGGCGCCCGTCCGCCAGAGGCCGCCCAGCAGCACCAGGTGGCAACAGTGAAGCGCCGCCGAGCTCAGCGGCGTCGACGGGTACGTGTTCCAGCATAGCTCGACCAGGCCCAGCATGCAGAGCCGCGTGGCCGTCGAGAAGTTGGCGCTCCAGAGCAGGTACGGCAGGCTGTGGTAGTACCACACGTAGAACTGGTAATGCAGCGAACGGCAGAAGACCATGCCCACCAGGTTGCACGTGAAGAGCGGCAGCAGCAGCAGCTGACAGCGAATCGCCGGGCCGTCGGCCGCCTGCAGGCGCGCGAAGCCCTCCAGAAAGCGGTACCAACGGCGGCGGGCGAACACTGCGCACGTGGACCACGTGTAGTGCTAGCAGGAGCGCGTGCAGCCGCCGGTCCAGGAACAGCGCCTCAGGCAACAGGCGCCAATTGACCGTCCACTGGTACTGGAACAACTCGACCCAGGTCGAACGCGCCGCGCACATACGCTATCGGGTTGGTAGCGAGGAACGGCGCGCCGAGCACGAGCTGCAGCGCGGCACAGATGGTCAGCTGGCGCGCGGCGCGGCCCAGCCCAGGCACGTGATGTAGGCCAGCAGCAGCGCCGGCGTCGAACAGCAGCACGTTCATCTTGATCGAGACGCCGAGTGAGAACAGCACGCTGCCCAGCGACCAGCGGCCGTCCATGAAGCAGTTTGATGCTGGCGTAAAGCAGCAGCATCGCTACCGGGTCGTTGAAGAGACGCAGGACATAGATGGAGTGGATGCGGTAGGAGGTAAGACTCATCATAAGCAGCATGTATGGGCGGGATCTTGCGGCTCCGCACGTAGATGCGACTAACCAGTGCCAGGTGGCCAGGTAATGACCATGAAAATGTACTGTGCAGCCTCATGTTTGGCGCCCTGCGCAGTGACATGGTACAGGCCGAGGGAAGACGTACACGAAGCCGGCCGGGTACACCAGCGGACCGGTGTCGCCGCTCAGGAGCGAGTAGTCCGAGTGTGCCATTCCACACGCCCTCCACCTCCTGCATGTAGGCGCGCCAGTCGATCTCTGTGTACTTGACGCGCTCGATCACGGCCACGTTGATGACGCACTCGGCGAGCAGTAGAAGCCCTGCCATTGGCACACAGCAGTCAGGGCTAAAGAGGTAGCGCTGCAGCTGGTCCGGCGAGAGGGCAGCCCGCAGGCGGCGCCACCGCGACGGCGCCCGCCGGGGCGGCATCGTGTGCTGCAAAACAGTGTCATGCTGTTTACAGTCAAGCATGACAACAAAACATACCTGATATCTATATCCTTACAAAATGGTTTCAGGTCAGATGAGATCAAAATGCTAAAGTTTCCAAGAGATGTAATGTGATACTTAGAATTCCGGGCTGACATAGTCTCAAATTACAAGTCTCACAATACCACCATTTCATAAATCTATTCAATTCTTGGACAACTGAATAGATATAATAAACAGTTTCTTCTTTAGATCCATCACTGGTGGAAACGTGCTTGTTGTGGTTGAGAGAACAGTGATAACAAGCCAAACATTATCATCATTATCCTCTAGGAAGTGATCACTGTGCTCTTGACTTGTGCTCATACTATTTTACTTGTACTCAAGTGGAAACTTGAGGAGGCTTAAGTAAGCAAAGCTGGTGCATAGTTAACATCAATCAGCACACTTAACGCAGGTCTGCAACCAACAGGATCTTGTTGAGTTTGCCATGTCTTACTGTCTGGATAATGTTTGCATATGCAACATACTATTAGGCCTTTGATATGCATCATAGCTGGTATCTGCACAACTCAAGCTAATCCAGATTGGAAAAACATGTTACTTTGAACATGGGAGCAGCTTTGCAGCAAAAAGTTAAGTATGATAATCTAAACATGGGAGCTTTGTAACAACAATTTCCCTGCATGTATATCAGTGTTTGGTGCAAGTTCCCATGAATTTCAGTGTAGAGTCAACATTTCAAGGAGCTGTGATGCTGCAGAAGTAACTTTGGGCAGAAATCCCACAAAAACATTTCTGCACAAAAATCATGCCAAAAATTGGGCACAATTTGGCCCGGCTTTTATTTCGCACATACATGCAGATAACAATCAGCGTGCGGACACAACTACAGTTGAAAATCACTTATGTTGGAAAACTGACCGAGGGCCTCCGAGGGCCAGATACGCAGGCGAATTGACGGCCAGCTTTTAGTAAGCAGCATGATACATCAGTAAAACAGTAAGCACTGAGGAAGATTAAAAGAGCTTACCAAACGGCGAAAAGGCGACACAGCCGACCACTGCTCTACCTAGCCCGCCGCAGTAGTAATGCGACCAGCCCGACGTTATCGGCTTGTGACTCTTCCCCAACTTTAGAGTTTACACGACATGGCCCAGCACACGGGACACGCGAAAGGTGAAGGCGCACCATGTATGAAACATTAGCGTCGTTAAGGGTCCCATATCACTACCAAATTTCCTTCCACCAAAGAATGCGTTCTTCAATCTTTATGCTTTCAGCAAAATGTTATCCAAAGCTCATAGATAATTATTTATTATCGGATAAAATCGTTTTCT